CAGTTGTTGTTGTTTTCGTAATAAGAGCAGCGCTGTGCACGTAACGTTGTGGAAGGAGAGAAGGATTGAAATTGTTACTGTCTACGTAGGTTGTTTAACATATTAAAACACGGTTTAAGCACGGCTTAATTCCAGGAGTAAGAGTTGGAAATTATGTAAGATGTGACTCAAAGAAATTTAAGATATATCCTACTATAAAATAAACCAGAAAAGCTGAGGAGACTGTGCATAAATCTGCATCAATATTGGTGCTTTAGGCCTCCAAAGAAACTAACAACGTATGTGTATAATACTATAGGTTGATCAATATACAATTCTACTCAGTCTAGATGTTTGAATGTATTAACCTATAACATGACAACTAAAGTGTGCAGTACCAGCTATTGAAGAGATGATTTTTATGTCCACATTTACGGCCAATATTTTGTATAAAACCCATCCCGTAACCATTGCCTAATTTTTTGGACGTGTTGGCATTAGAGGAAATTTTTCCTCCTAACTCAAATAACCATCTTTAGGGTTCTAGGAAACCTACCCCCTGGAAATCAACCCCCGGATAGCAACCCCCAATCAACTATCCCCTAGGACATCTTCCCCCTAGGACAACTACCCCGTAGGGCAACCACCCTCTTGGACGACTACCCCTAGGTCAACTACCCCCCGGACAACTACCCCAGACAATTACCCTCTAGGATAACTACCCCCGGAAAACTACCCCCTGGACAACTACCCCCTCGGACAACTACCCCCGGACAACTACCTCCATACAACTACCCCCTACGACAACTTTCCTGTAGGAAAACTACCCCCGGGACAACTATCCTACGGGGTAGTTGTCTGAGGGGGAATTGTCAGGGGTGGCTATCCGGGGATTTGTTGTCCTAGGGGGTTATTGCCTGGGGGTAGTTGTCCGGGGGTAATTGTCCTAGGGGGTAGTTGTCTGGCGGGTAGTTGTACAGGGGAAGTTGTCCTAGATGGTGGTTGCTCTAGGGGGTAGTATTCCTAGGGGGTAGTTGTCCTAGGGGGTAGTTGACGGGGGGGGGTGGGTGGTTACTCGGGGAAGGATGTCCATGGGTAGGTGTCCGGGTATTAACGTCAGCAGGCGGAACTGTTCGAATGCATATCTTCGATCGGGTGATGTCCAACAAAGAAAGAATCTCACGATTCATTCACAATCATTATGTGATAGAGTTTTGCTTGAAGGAACAAAAGCGATAGGTATTGAGTTCACCTGTAATAAAGTAAAGAAGGTTGCAAAAGCATCGCAAGATGTAATTCTGTCCGGGGGAACAGTGAATTCACCTCAGTTCCTAATGTTGTCTGGTGTGAGAAATGTAGATGAGTTGAAAACGCTCGGCATCCCAGTGGTAGCCCATCTTCCCGGTGTAGGACAGAACCTCCAAGATCACTTCCAGATCTGTGTCAAATGTACCTGTACGAAGCCCGTTTCTCTATACAAGGCCCAGTGGAAACTTCCTTTCACTGTGGTGGCCATCGGGCTTGAGTGGTTCATATTCCAGACAGGGCTTGGAACCACGGCTCACCTCGAAGCAGGTGCATTTCTAAGGAGTCGTGCTGAAGTAAAACATCCTGATATCCAGATGCACTTTGTGCCAGTATTAGCTCATTATCATGGGCAAATACCGGGCGACTGTCATGGGTTCCAGGTTCATGTCAACACATTGAGAGCGACTGGCCAGGGATTTATTAAACTCAAGTCCCCCGATCCTACAGAGTATCCTATAATTGACCCCAACTACCTTGACACTGAGAGTGACCGTAGGGACCTACGACAAAGTATCAGGCTCACTCGAGAGATCATTGCGCAGAAAATGCAATAAATTTTCAATAATTTATTGCATTTTACCCCAGTCCCCAACATAAAAAAAATCCTCTGGACGGCCATGCATTATGGCTCAAGGCATGGGCACACATAGGATTTGTTTATGTTGGACACCGGGGTAAAATGCAATAAATTATTGAAAATTTATTGCATTTTCTTTGTTTGTTTTAATTTATGGAAACTGCCCCCTATCCTAGCCCCCGCTGCGTACAGTCATAGTTCATTGACAAAGCAATAGCCTCGTAACTGTGAGGCCCCAGGATCAAAACCGTGTGGATGTGCTATATAAGTGCCCTTTTGTGGGGCATTAATCCTCATTACTGTCATTTATGACTTAAAGGTACTATGTCACATTTGCAGGCCAAAAAAATGAAAAAAATAAATTCCAACTGCATTTGAAAGATAATACTAATTTAAAACTTCCCTAAAAAAGGTGGGGCTTGAAAACGTCTTCAAGTGGGAAAATAACGACTATTAGTTGTCAAATCGACTTTAGGGCTATAGAGCCCAAAAGTAATAGTCTTGATTTTCAGACAATTGTACCGAAAGTTCATACGTTTTATGCTGCGCAAAGATTCAATCAGTTTAATCTTGGCCATCACAAGAATTGGGTTATTGATGTAGACAAATGGTCATGTACCCTTTACAACTCTTTTCATGTATGTTATTACCAAAGAAGAAAAAGCCAGTCAGTCACTCAATAGTGTCTGACAGTGAAGTCTAGCAAGTAAACGGGTTTCCTTGCATAATTTGAATATGAGGACACTGCTAACGTTTGAATTTCACAGATAGGACATACATGACATATTCATAATTCCTGAAAAGTTCTACAGCATTTGAGGTTGGCTGCAAAAGGGACATAGTACCTTTAAGGGCGTAGGTCCCCTAGTTGATGAGCATCGTAGCCTACACATGCTTTAGCAGTCACACAAAACACACATTGTCCAATTATTATTCAATAAAATCTGAGAATGTATACTATTATCTAGATCTATTATTTTTTAATTATTTTTAAAATAATTCCATAAATTGGGGAAAAACAAAAATATTCCAACTTTATGAGCGACAGTGTATACGTGTATGTGCATATATATAATACCGTATCCGGACACCTACCCCTTGGACATCCACCCCCGGATACCCCCTCCCCACAGTCAACTACCACCTAGGACAACTACCCCCTAGGGGAACCACCCTCTAGGACGACTACCCCTGGGACAACTACCCCCCCCCCCCTCGACAATTTACCCCTAGACAACTTACCCCTAGGACAACTACCCCCTAAGACAACTAACCCCGGACAACTACCAACTAGAATAGTTGTCCGGGGGTAGTTGTCCTAGAGGATGGTCGTCGTAGGGGGTAGTTGTCTGGGGTAGTTGTCCGGGGTGGTTGTCCGGGGGTAGATGTCCTAGGGGTAGTTGTCTGGGGGTAGTTGTCCTGGGGTTAGTCGTCATAGAGGACGGTAGCCCTAGGGGGTAGTTGTTCTAGGGGGTAGATGTCTGTATATGGTATTATATGAATGTACATAGGCCTACATGTAACTGTATATATATATATATATATATATACGTATAATTCTTAAATACATGTATAATATATGAATACTAGCATATAATCTGAAAAATATGTTTGTCAGCATTGTTACGGAATTTGCAGTTTTCCCGTTAGGGACCGTGGAAAAATGCAATGATTTATTGATAATTTATTGCATTTTTCTTTCTTTTTTATTATTTGTGGGGGCTTGCCGTACCTTGGCATCCGCTGCGTACAGTCATGGTTCAGTGGCAAAGCAATGGTCTCGTAAATGTCAGGCCCCAGGCTTAAAACCGTGTCGATGGGCTATATTAGTGCCGTTTTTTAGACATTAAAGGCCCACTGCACTACTTGTAGCTACTTTCGCCCTCTATATAACAACCAATGCCTAATCGGGGACCATTGGTCCCCCATGATCCTCTTTTTCGTATGTTAACTGAGAGCTGAGTTGATGAGATAACCACCTGTCCAGTGACCTTGCAGAGCGCTCTAATCCCTCCTGTAAACTATGGCAGATAAGCTTTAAACCCCAATATTGTCAGTTATAACTTAAGGACGTAGGTCCCCTAGTTAATAAGCATAGTTGCAAACCCATGCTTTAACAGTCACGCAAAACATACACTTGCAAATTATTATTCAATAAAATTTGAGAATGTATACTATTATCTAGATCTATTAGGAATAAATCATTCTCAAGATCATTTCATAATTTAGGGTACAATATTATTCCATCTTTATGACCAACAGTGTATATACACACATATTACAAAACAATCTATATATAGCCTACTTTTCTTCATCATTTAGTTCATCCACCCTTTTGTCTTTCTCCCCCCCCCCCCCCCTCTATATCTCTCTTTATCTCCCTTTCTTTCTCTCTCTCTCTCTTGGCTTCTTGAATTTGACTTTCTTAACGTAGACCTAGTTCTGCTTTGAGAATCAAAAAAAGGAAAGTCGAATTATTTTTTCACACAGAAAATAATATCGTTTTATTTGAATTGTACATGTATGGTTCATTAAAATACTAAACCTGACAGCGCGTAGTATAAATGACATTTACTTTACATGATTAAAGCAACTTCACTTGCACATCATTGTTTCAACAATTTGAACACGACGTGGAAACATTAAAAAGAACATACTGCAAAACAGTAACAAAATATTCTTGAAACAGCTTCAAATTATGTTTTTAATTCTAATTTTAAAGAATTGTTTCTTAAAGGCTTTTACTAAATTTTGATCAGAGCAGTGATTCAACAAATGCAACAAATGTATTTGGGACAATAACATATATAAATATAGCACTTAGATTAAACAAAGTAATTATCAAAATGTAAAGATTGGGCATAATATGAAGAACAATATAACAGACAAGGACATAATAATAACGATGGTATCAGACAGGTTTATCACCTCTGTTGTTGAGAGCCTAAAATATGGTGACAATCAATAACATGAAGTCAATACCTCTCAGACTCACAGCAGCAATATGAACTCGACTAAATTACGATGGGAAGAGTTTTTTTTTAACGTTTCTTCTGTATTACATAGGCGGCACACCCCCGTTAAAATCAAATATGATTACCCCCCCCCCCCCCCCCCACCCTCCCCCTCACCGGGGTTTGGTGTGAGCAGAGCGGAGTCGTCGTGGTGATTCGTAGAGGTGGCCTAGGTCGTGTATGTACTATGAGGGTGCAGTGCAATGAAATGTGTGATAGATGAGAAGAATGCTTTTGAAGGTGACAGAAAGCCAGTGCAGTGCCTGAAACATATGCTGGGGCTACTCACATATTAAGACAAACGGGGATGTGCCGCTCTAACTCGCTTTTTCACATAATAATCCCTAAACGTGGGTCCCAAATTTTACCAAAATATAACAAAACATGGGTCCGTTTTTCCAAAATTGTGGAAAATGGGTCTATATTTCGAGAAAAATCTGCAAAAAATTACCCTTCAAAATAGGTAGGGGTTTCGAGGCTTCAGCAGCACACTTCCATCCAAACCTCCCCCGGTTGTGAGTGGTGCATTTAGTGAGCGCTACAAGTCTGGCCGCTGAGTTTTTGAGTTGTTGGAGGCGTTGTAGCTTGTGGTTAGGTCTGGAAGACAGTGTATCAAAAGAGAATTGCAAAAGTCTAACCGGGAAGAGATGAGGGAATGAACCATGGTTTCAGTAGCATTACGTGATCTTCGGATCTGCGAAAGGTTGCGGAGTTGGGATCTAATGGCTTAACATGTTTTGGATAGACGATGATTTAGGCATGTTCGAATCAATGAAAACATCAAACTTCAAGCATTTATTTGTAGGGCTGATCTGATCATCACAAACTGTAACATCAAGAGTCACATATAATAAATGTCTCAGGATAATGTGTGGTGTCTATAATTGTTAAATTAAAAAAAGACCAAAATTCCTTCTGAAGTGAAAAGTTGGTAGAAATTAGTGAGGTGATAATGTAAATTGATTTGCTACCAGATGTATATAAAACTTCGGGCTCGACTGTATATGTGTTTGGTGAGATAATTGTGTGTGTATTCGATAATCTTAGGAAATATGTTTACGCTGTCAGCTTAACTTTGGGTTCCCCATCCCTTTGGGTCTCTGATGAGGCCGGTCTCCAGACAGGTGCGTTGATTTTCTCAAGTTGTTTGTTACCAAGGATCATATCAGCTGCTCTCTCTGCTATCATAATGGTTGGAGCATTGGTATTTCCGCTGGTGATGCTCGGCATAATGGACGCATCAACAACTCTGAGATTCTCCAGGCCAATGACCCGGGTGGTGCAGTCAACAACGGCCATAGGATCCTCTTCAGAACCCATCTTGCAGGTGCTGGTTGGGTGGTAGATAGTTTCCGCTTTGGCGCTGATGAAGGCATCGAGCTCAGAATCCGTTTGGACAGAGGATCCCGGTGCCATTTCCTCTCCACGGAACTCATCAAAGGCTTTCTGCGCAACGATCTCTCGAGTGAGTCTGATACTGTGTCGTAGGTCCCTGCGGTCAATCTCAGTGTCAAGGTAGTTGGGGTCAATCATAGGATACTCTGTAGGATCGCGGGACTTGAGTTTAATGAATCCTCGGCTAGTCCCTCTTAATGTGTTGACACAAACCTGGAACCCATGGCATTCGCCCGGTATTTGCCCATGATCATGAACTAATACTGGCACAAAGTGCATCTGGATATCGGGATGTTTTACTTCAGCACGACTCCTTATAAAAGCACCTGCTTCGAGGTGAGCCGAAGTTCCTAGCCCTGTCTGGAACATGAACCACTCAAGACCGACGGCCAACATAGTAAAAGGAAGTTTCCACTTGGCCTTGTATAGGGAAACGGGCTTCGTACAAGTATATTGGACATAGACCTGCAAGTGATCTTGGAGGTTCTGTCCTACACCGGGAAGATGTGCAACCACTGGGATGCCGAGCGCTTTCAAGTCATCTGCATTTCCCACACCAGACAACATTAGCAACTGCGGCGAATTTACTGTTCCCCCTGACAGAATTACATCTTGCGATGCTTTTGCAACCTTCTTTACTTTATTACAGGTGAACTCAATACCTATCGCTTTTGTTCCTTCAAACAAAACTCTATCACATAGTGATTGTGAATAGATTGTCAGATTCTTCCTTTGTTGGACATCACCCGAACGAAGATATGCATTCGAACAGTTCCACCTGCGACCTTTGTGGACTGTCTGATCTATCCACCCAACACCTTCCTGCTGATGTCCGTTCATATCAGATGTGTATGGATATCCACATTCTTTGCCCGCGTTAATGAATGCCTCGAAGAGAGGGTTTTGGGATTTGCTGGTGGAGACATGGAGAGGGCCGTTGCCGCCCCTGTAGACATTTTCACCGAGCTCGTGGCATTGGGAACGTTTGAAGTACGGCAAACAATCGGCGTAAGACCATCCGGTAGCGCCCTCTCGCTCCCACTTTTCGTAATCCTCAGGATGCCCTCTGACGTAGACCATACCGTTGATGGAGGAAGAGCCACCCAGGACCTTGCCCCTCGGCCAGAACATCTCCCTGTTGGCCATGTGCCTTTGCGGAACTGTGTGATAATACCAGTTGTGGGTCTTGCCACCGATAGCGAGCGTTGCGGCAATGGGCATCTGAATCTGCCACGAGTTGTCTTTCGGTCCCGCTTCCAGAAGTAGAACTTTGTTGCTAGGTTGGGCAGAGAGACGGTTTGCAAGAACACATCCTGCAGACCCTGCTCCAACGATGATGTGTGTGTAATCATCATCACCACTTTCCTTGGTCTGAACGCTGAATGATTTCGATTGCTGGAAATAAGAAGAATCCGTACGAAAAGATATCTGCCTCAGGTTGCTCAGGCCTGTAATCGAGATGAAAAAAGTGGAATAAGAAAGGATGAAAAAGGGAGTTATCCAAATATAAAAAGAACGACTCCAGAAATACTGAAGTTGGTTATTTGAGTTAGGAAGAACAATTTCCTCTAATGCCAACAAGTCCAAAAAATTAGGCAATGGCTATGGCATGGGTTTATACCAAAATATTGGCCGTAATTTTGATAAATGGTGACAAGAAAATCATCTCTTCAATAGGTGGTACTGCACACTCTCGACTAGTTGTTTAATCATGTAAAAGGTTAATACATTATCAAACATCTAGAGTATGCAGTAGAAAATTATATTTATCAACATATTTTAGACACATCAAAATCATATTCGGATACTGCAGCAGGTGATCTTGTCCGTTGATATAGTTTCTTTTGAGGCCTAAAGCACACATATTGCTGCAAATATATCCACGCCCAATAAACAAAATCACGTGAAAATCACGTCAATATCAAGGTATCGACTTGAGGAGAGTTACGTTCTTCAAACACCTGACATTTACGTAAATGTGTTAATACGTTTATCACTTAAAACACACGTACACTAAATCACGCAATTGTCACTGCAATATCACCATTATAATAACGTGATTATCCCTACCTTGGAGACCATGGTTTGTAAACCTAATACTCCCGTGTTTGTTTGGTTATGAAATTACATCTTCATAAACGAAATTATCGCGTCACAGAAACACGTGAAGCGTTAGTAATAGTTTTAGTCAAAATATCTGCGTGAAATTCACGTGAATATTACGAGGCTGACTTGAGATGAATCATGTTCTTCATTCACGTGAAATTTACGTCGAAGAGGAAGTATGTTACTGTAACCCGCGTTCAACCCAATAATTACGCAAATGTTATACAATAAATGAACCAAAATAATGACGTTCTCATCCCGTTTCTGAACATCATGTCTTGGATCTTCCATAATTACGTCCAGGCGCGCCGGAAGCAGTTTGGGATTAGAGGGGGTGGGGTGGGGGTGCAAACATCCCAGAAGGGAAGCTCGTTGCAACTGGTCCAATTGATGAACCAGTTAATGCCAACTGGTAACCCTGGAAATTGAAATGGGCTAAATGATCCTGTTGATCCAGGCCAGTTATAATTCAACTGGTCTAGCTGAGCCAAGAACCATTTGGTAAAACTTCCAACCAGTTGAACAGCAACAATACTTCAATACCGGTACGTCTGTATTTCCAATGTAAAGGCATTGGTAATAAGTAGACTTACATAATTGAATTAATCGAAAGTTTTTCGTATACTTGTACTTTATTGAAATGATTTTAGTTCATAGTTAATATTTACCTTATTCAATTTTAACTAAATGTAATTTATACGAAGTAGCGAAATGTCCTAATAACTGATAATTTATATTTGTAGTATTTTCGAAATGAATTGCATATAACTAAATCATCAGTAATTAAGAAATATGCTGTAAATTCAGATAAATTGTTTAAAAAACATAGATCTGCACGCACCCCATATTCAATATGCAAATTAATTGGTGTCAGCGGGTTCAACTCGAAATATGCCAACAGTCACGGGATTATCACCACGGAACTTAAATGGTAACTGTGAAACCATCAAGACACCCAAGAATAACTCATTTTCACACCTGGAAAACACGGAATACCCAGCTTATATTAATAATACGTTTGAGTCATGAGATCATCACCGCGGAACTGCTGGCAACGTTGACTAACATTTAAATAGGTGTTTTAAGACACCTAATAATTACTAATTTTTCACACCTAAAAGTCACGTATGCCCAGCTTAGATTAATATTCCGTTTGAGTCACGAGATCATCACCGCGGAACTGCTGGCAACTTTGACTACCATTCAAATAGGTGTTTTAAGACACCTAATAATTACAAATTTTTCACACCTAAATATCACGGATTCACAGCTTAGATTAGTAATCAGTTTTAACTACGTGATCATCACCAGGAAAGTTATGGTAACTTTGAAACCATTTAAAAAGGTGTTTTAAGACACCTAATAATTACTAATTTTTCACACCTAAAAGTCACGTATGCCCAGCTTAGATTAATAATCCGTTTGAGTCACGAGATCATCACCGCGGAACTTATGGCAACATTAACTACCATTTAAAAAGGTGTTTTAAAACACTTAAAGAGAAGGTTGAGTTCTGGGAAGAGGTGAAAAATAATTTGTGAGAGTTATCCTCCTTATTATGCAAGTGTGGAAGAACATCAGATAAGACATGTTCCCTGAAAAGCATGGCTCTTCAAATGCCTTTATATTCTAAATATGTCATGTAACATCGTAAAACTCGGGGGTAGGATTTTTACGCCACGTGTTCGTGTAGTCCCATATACATCTTTCTGTGTACAGTGTTTGTAACTTTACCAAGACTTGGCCAAATTTCTTATCATTTTGATGATTCCAGAACCTTGCAATACACACAAATTCTTATATGCTAGATGATCAACCTTTTCTGGCCGATTCCACACCGTTTCTTTCACAATGCAATCGCATGACCAGAACTCAACTTCATCTTTAATAATTAATAATTTCCACACCTACATATCACGTATTCACAGCTTAGATTAGTAATCAGCTTGAGCCACGTGATCATAACCAAGAAATTTATGGTAACTTTGAAACCATTTAAAGAGGTGTGTAAGACACCTCAGAATTACTAATTTAATATAACCAGAGATTCACGGACAGAACAATAAGACGATTAGCCGGTGTAAGTAACGTGATTATTACCATCAACCTGGGATAACCTGTGAAACCAATCGATAAAGGTGCTTACAAGACCAAATAATTACGTATTTATCGCCACCATTGGTTAACGGACAAAAACTCGTTGCTTGGTCAAGAGGTTATTTGGTCATAAACACTTGATTTACAGAGGTAAATGGAATCACGTTACTTCAGTCGCGTGATAAACTGGTGGTCTTTAGGTTAGATAAAAACGTGAACAGGAGTACCTTTTTTGTTTAAATGAAGGCACGTGTCGATAACGTTTAAATCTAGTTCAAAAGGCACTATACTTTAAAATCACTTAAAATACACTCCCAAAAGAGGTTACTTTTTAGTGTTCTGTTTATTGGGCGGTCTCCTCAGCTTCTCTGGTTTATTTCATGGTAGGCTATGTCTTAAATTTCAATAAGTCACATCTTCTGCAATTTGGAACTCATACTACTGGAAGTATAGCCATTCTCGAGAACCGTGCTTTACCGTGTTAACCAACCTATGGAGACGGTAATGTTTAGAGTCTTTCTCTCTTTATACAACAATCAGCGCACAGCGAAGCTCTTATTACGGAAGCACGTTTTACTGACATGTCTTGTTTCTCTAAAGTCTTTGCTGCTGCTACTACTACTACTACTACTACTACTACTACTACAACAACAACAACAAATACAACAGCAACTACTACTACTAGTATACTACAACTACTACTACTACTACTACTTCTACTACTACTACTACTACTACTACAACAAATACAACGGCAACTACTACTACTAGTATACTATAACAACTACTACTACTACTACTACATGTACTGCAACTCATAATAATACTCCTACTATTGCTACGACTACAATTACTGCTATTATTACTACCAATTCATGCTATTGCCGTTTCTACCGTGCGTCTCCCCAAAAAACTATACACTTTTGAAATGGCTGCCAAATACGAAATATATAATTCTGGGGGAAAATCTTTATATGTATGGAAAGCTCATAAGCCTCACTTTCATATGACACCAACAAATTTGAAAATGATTCATGCTTGGGTGAACACTGCTCACTTTTGTAAAGGGTATGAAAACTAGGTTGCACAGGAATTAGCCTTCCAATGTGTGAGAGTTAAATCCTTTGGAGCTCACGGAATTGAGGATGATATGACCAATTTATGAGTTTAGGTTTGCATTTTATGCATGAATGAACAAGAATTGCATTTGTTATTACCGTATAGCAATGTAACTTTCCACGGTAGACTCAGTGGTGTGTTTATGGGAGTCAGGACGGGGTGATGGTACATGGTGTGGGTAGGACTTGAAGAATAAGTAGCCAACATCTTGGACATTCCTTTTTTCAACAAACCGTATTTGAGTAATCAATTTACATAATCCCCATCTGGTTATCAAGTAATACAATGAGATGTTCAACTAATCATACAATAATTGAAATGTGGGGTGAAGGTTTTTATTCAAAGTCACAGATGTAAAAGATAACAGTTTGTAACATGGAAATTACAACATGTACCATCACCCCATTCGGACTCCCATGAACACATCACTGAGTCTACCAGGGAAAGTTACAATGCTACAATACAAAATGTAATTCCTGTTCACTCATGCATAAAAGTTTGGTTTAAAAATTCACTCAGCAAATCATGAATGTATCATATCACTCTCAACTTTGTAAGCTCCAAAGGATTTACATCTCACAAATTGGAAGGCTAATTCCTGTGCAATCTAATTTTCATACCCTTTACAAAAGTAAGCATTGCTCACCCGAGCATGAATAATTTTCGGACTTCTTGATGTCAAATGAAAGCTGAGTTTATGAGCTTTCCAAACATATACAACTTTTTCCCTGGAATTATATATTTCGTATTCAGCAACCATTTCAAAAGTGTATAGTTTTTTGGGGGACGCACGGTATTATAATGTCTAGGCCATATGGAATCGATAGTCAATGTCAAACTTACCTGGCCTAACCCTTGCCAATGATGAATACATGACTTCTCCTGGGTCAAAACATTCACACCAACGTGGTCTCTAGAGAACTGAGCGAAGGACCATGCGTCGAGTCCGAGCAACGATGAAATAGCATATACGACTGCTGACTGACCTGGACGTGTCATACCTTCCTGGTTTTCTTTGTGATTATCCATGCGACAAAAAAGGAGAGGGTTAGAAATGTCATTGACCACTTATTGACTAGTATTTGTTTGGATATGTTTGCTTTTGTCGCAAGGTAAAAAACAGGAGTAAAGGTTAACTACTACCATACGGTAAAGTTAGTCAATACAGGCGCGGATCCAGGGGGGGGGGGAAGCGGGCCTTGCCCCCCCCCCCCCTCGCAAAAAAATAAAAATAAAATAAATAAAGGAGAGAGAGAGAGAGATAATGAAAGAAGGGAAAGGGAAAGAGGAGAGAAAGGGGAAAAAAGAAGAGGAAGAAGAAAAGAAAAGAGGGAAGAAGTAGATCGGGGGGGGGGGGCAAAATGACTTGCCTCCCAGGCTGTTGCCCCCCCCCCCCAATCAAAAAATAAAAGAGAAGGAAGGAAAGGGAAAGAAAAAAAGGGAAAAAGAGATACTGGGAAGGAAAAAAGAGGAAGAAGAAAAGAAAAAAAGGGGATAATCCGAATCGGTGTTTCCATCTTTTTCTCTAGATCCATACTAATACTCTCTCTAGTTTTAATCTCATTTCATCCTAGTCTTATACTCGTTTTATGCTCGAATCATAGCCGTTTCATCAATATTTCTGTCACTTCCGTCTTTACGACATAATAATTATAAGTATTGTCCACATCCCCATAAAAAACGACCCAGCTCACTTCTAATACACATCTAAGTTGATGTCTTACCTTTGTATTTGAAGTCCGAAAGAAAGTTCACCTCCTCGATTGGCTGTCCTCTGATGTTTAAACTTCGCCTCAAGAAGAAATTTTCGAGAATTTAGGCCTACTGGTAATTTGTGCAAATCAAGATGGCTTCTATAGTATACCATCCAAACTAAACCGAACGTTTACAAAGCCAGTACTTTTCACGCTTAGTTACATGTCGCGCAGAAATAGGCAAGTTTTAAGGTAACAAAATATTTACCTTTGTCACATGATGCAGACTTATTGACATAAGATAAGCCCCGTTGCACTTGGTGAATAGATCGACATGAAATATGTGAATAATATTTCAACGTCACACATAATAAGGAATATACTGGCTTCATTCACAAGGCCAGTAGAAGCGGAAACGGGTGCTCTCTCTCTCTCTCTCTCTCTCTTTCCCTCTCTCTCTTTCTCTCGCTCCCTCTCTCCATGCACCTCCCCCTCTCTGTATCTCTCTTTTTTCTCTCTCTCTCCACTTTCCCCTTTTCTCTCTCGCTCTCTCTCTCCTCTCTCTCTCTCTCTCTCTCGCTCTCTCTCTTTCCCTCTCTCTGGCCCTTAGTTTATATCACCTCTTCCCTACCCCCACCCCTCCAACTTCCCTATCTCTCCCCTCTCTCTCCTCTCTCACCATCCCGGCCCTCCCTCTTTATCCCCCCTCCCCTTCCCGTCGACCCCTCTCTTTATTACCGTATTACTTGACAGCGGCTGCACATAACGCTTTCACACCAGAATGATAATGCTCCATGTAACCTCTCAGTGATTTGGTAAAATGAGTTTTTCTTCCGCGCTTAGTCTAAATAAATAAAACAATAGCAACAAAACAACAACACTACACAGAAATAGCAACAACAACAACGGTACAGCATTATCATCAATAACAACACAAATGTAAACAAATAAATAAACAAACAACAGAAAAAAAAGAAGAAAAAAAAGTGCAACCCTAACCTAAACTAACCATACAAATAATTATATTACAGGGCGAATACTTCATACTTTTTTTGCTGTGCCCGATACCATAGCTGATACTACACTTCTATACTATTTTATAAATATATGGACTGCTATGAGAGGCATAGCTGTTTCTAAGGCACCTAGACACTATTATGCAAACAATAGTTATATTTGCTTGTCATAAATATTTGTTTATTGCCCCCCCCCCCCCCACCTGTCAGGATATTGTCGGTAAAATTGCGCTGCCGTCGGGAAAAAAGAGAAAGGGGGAGGGAAAAAAGAGAGGGAAAGGGAAAGAAAAGAAAAAAGAAAAGGAAAAGAAAAGAAAGAAAGGAAAAGAAAGGAAAGAAAAGAGAAGAAAGAAGAGAGAAAAGAAAAGAAAAAGAGGGAGGAGAGGAAAGAAAGGAAAAGAAAAAAAAGGGAGAAGAAAAAAAAGTAAAAGGGAAACCAAAGAAACGGGGGTGAAAGAGAGGAGAGAGAGGAGCGGTAAGAGCCTGAGTGAGGAGAACTGGGAGTAAAAGAGAGAAGGGGGTTGTTGGGTGGAGTCATCTCGTCGAGGGAGCAAGAAAGACACGGGTAAATATAATGCTTTGTCGGGTCAGCTGTGTCGGTATTCTTGCTCGATCCTCGTGTACTATAATTTTATTAATGCAGAAGTTTGAAGTCGGTGAGATGTATAATGTCGGTCGGCCGACAAGTTTTTTTCCCTACGAATTGTGACTTTTTATCCGCTGTGACGACTTCGAGAGTGATTACAACTACAATACTTGTATTTTCTCGAAGTTTCACATTCCTATAATATCAGCTAAAGAAATCAGAGGGTTAAAAATTTTCGGGGAAACCAAAACAACGGTACGACAAATCGTATTCCTTTCTCTATATTGTGATGAAACGCCCAAAAAAATCCGCGCTTCGCGGAAGGGGAAAACTTCATTTAGAAGAGTCGAGAACGATACAACGAATCGTCTTCTTTCTCTAATATTTTAAGGAAACTTCAAAGCTTCCGCGCTTCGCGCTAAAGGGGGAAACTGAATTCAGACAAATATGGCTTATTAAGAGTCAAAAACGGTACAACGAATCGTCTTCTTTCTCTAATAATTTAATGAAACGTCAAAACTTCCGCGCTTCATGCGGGAGGGGGAAGCTTAATTCAGACAAGGATTAAGAGTCGAGCACGGTTCAACGAATCGTCTACTTTCTCTAATAATTTAATGAAACGCCTAAATCTCCGCGCTTCGCGCGGAAGGGGGACAACTGAATTCAGATAAGGAATAAGAGTCGAAAACAGTACACCAAATAGGGCTTATTTAGAGTCGAAAACGGTACAAACGAATCGTCTTCTTTCTCTATATTGTGATGAAACGCTAAAAAATTATGGGTTTATGGGTTTATAGTGTTAAACTTGTAGATATTGGACATTTAACTTTGTCGGTAATTGGTCGCTAGTTTTGTCGGTAATCGTTGACCTCTACTCCCCCCCCCCCCCCCCCCCCCCCTTCGCAAAAAAAAAAAAGGAGAGAGAGAGAGAGAGAGAAGGAAAGAAGGGAAAGGAAAAGAGGAGAGAAAGGGAAAAAAGGAAGAGGAAGAAGAAAAGAAAAGAGGGAAGAAGTAGATCGGGGGGGGGGGGGCAAAAGGACTTGCCTCCCAGGCTGTTGCCCTCCCCCCCCCCCCCAATCAAAAAATAAAAGAAGGAAGGAAAGGGAAAGAAAAAAGGAAAAGAGGAGATACAGGGAAGGAAAAAGAGGAAGAAGAAAAGAAAAAAAAGGGATAACGACACAACAAATCGTCTTCTTTCTCTAATGATTTAATGAAACGTAAGCTTCCGCTTAGCGCGGGAGGGGGAAAACTAAATTCAGACGAGGATTATTTTGGGGGAACGGTACAACAAATCGTCTTCTTTCTCTAATAATTTATTGAAATGTCAAAGCTTCCGCATTTCGCGGAGGAGGGAGGGGGAAACTCGCCCCTCCCTGCACCCACCCATTACGAACCAATATTTGGCTCGCATAATTTCAAATTTTGCCCCCCCCCCCCCTAAGAAATCCTGGATCCGCACCTGATATATATACAACGGCAACAGTTTCAATATAAAATGTAAGTTCTTCTTACTTAAATCATTGGTCTGGAAACAATTATTTGCCCATTGTTGTGTATTGTATTACATTTTCACTGAAAATGAACATTGTAATGCAATTTTCGAGTTTCCCAGGTTTATTTAGGAGAACAGAAGATTGATATTGTTTAGTTGTACGATAGCATCACTCAGTTTGATTTGATTTGATTTGAGATATATCTCATTAAAAAAGAGTAAAGGCTTTACAGTATCAAACAAACCTACACTATTAAACTTCAAGCTCACCCACACATGATTTATTGCGACACTTTCAAGGCTACTTATTATTTCAAGTTCATGTATATACATAAGGCTACAGCTTCAATATTAAACGTAATCAAATCATTGGTCTGGAAAATGTTAATGCCCATTGTTGTTTATTATACAACATTTTCCATAACGATAAATATACATTGTATAATGCAATTTTCAGGAAAACCATACTTGTCATTACTGTTATATGTGTTATATGATACTAAAGCAAATCGTTTCGCTTATCGATAAGATAAATCAATGTGAAGTACGTGTCAAATAATGAAATCATTACGTGCTATTTTTAACCGGACTAGACATTGGAAATGTATAAAAAATGTATACACTATTGACAGCAAGCACGTTTTTCAAACAAAGAATTCAGAAATTGAACGACATTGCACATTTTAGTCTACACGGCATGCTCTACACCAGGCCTTCTCAACTGGCGGCGCGCGCGCCACTTGTGGCGCTTGCGATCGGTCGGAGTGGCGCGCTGCTGTTCCAAACAAATAATAAAAAATAAATAAAGATGAAAAACGAAAAATAAAAGAAAGAAAAATTTTTAAAATGATATTTTAAAATTAAAAACTCAGCAAAATCAAAAAGTCGCAGTCAAATTTGAGCACAACGTGTAAGCAAGCCATTTTGTTTGTTTGATTTTCACTTGATTTTGACATTTTCCGTGTTTATTGCACGAAAATAACTACATGTAAATTAAATTCCTGTGTAGATTTTAGCCAGGGATTGTATGAAATTATGATTGATATTTTATGGAACAAAAAGGTGTTAAAAATGCCACATCTGGGCCTTAAAAAGCCCTAAAATCCACTAGCTTCCGGGGGCTTCGCCCCCTGGACACCACTCGGTATCGGTTCGGTCGCTACGCTCCCTCGCAACACAGTCACCAAACATACAGGTTGGCACTTTAACCTCAATAAATTTTTGTTTTGGCACTTCTAATTAACTAGTTGAGAAGGCCTGCTCTACATTCTTAGTTGGACTGTAAACAGTTATCTTCTTAAGTCTTCCATATAAATATAAATTTAAAGGAGGTCAATAATCATTATGAAAACACCACTTTCGCAAGGTTGACACATCAATATATATTGTGCACACATGTAACAATGTGATTATATTTTTTCTTGGGGAGGGGGGAACCGGAGGAAGGCAATCCATAAATGGACTGATATGTGAACATTAATATTGATAGGTCGCTTCACAAAAGGGGCATACAAAGTCCTTTTTTGTGGATAGTTTTTTTAGCAAAACACAAAATAGGTGGAGCCAACGTCCACACAGGTCACATCGCACCCATGGAGGTTTTGGCCCGAATTTACAAAGGAGGTTTGTCGACAAATCTAGGTTTATGTGCTTCATATGACGCGTTTCGATGCGTTTCAGACCAAGGTTTAGACAAACCTTTGTCTGAAACGCGTCATATAATTATGACGCGCATAAACATAGGTTTGTCTACAAACCTCCTTTGTGAATTCGGGCCTTTGTGAATTCGGGCCTTTGTGTTTGTGTCCTTCCCAGGCTTTTTACACGACACATTTTTTTCCCCATGTCTTTTGCGAGATGCCCCACATTCCGGGAATTTATTCTCTTGGACACAGCTAGAGCGTTCTGCAATTGAAAGCGAAATGTGCGAGTCAGGGGCGGCGATCCCGGGGGAAGGACGGGGTACACGTCTTTCCTCAATTTTCTGAGGGGGGTTGTCCCCCATGGATAATTTGAAAAAGTGCACACCAACAAAATGTATAGCAAATACTGACTAAAGACTGCAACACGCTTTAAGGCTCCGGTGGGCCCAAGAGTACAGCGTTTAGACTAATAGAAATGCTAAAATCTTCTCACTCGGTCGCTACGCTCCTTCGCATAATATCCTAAAAATATACAAGTAAATATTGTAGAAAATATGTATTCTGTTGGTATCACGTATATACAGTTTACACTGTATGTTAACAAGATTAAAAGTTATAGAAATAGATCAGTGTTCCAAAAATGAATATTCAGCTTGCTCTTTTAAGAAGTCCCTTCCTGCTCAGTACTTATTAAAATTTACCTAGTAAATATTTACAACCCTTCGGACTGCACACTAGATATCGGCAAAGTAAAAGTGAAGCGTGACAAAAGTATATTGCTTGTTTTTATGCTGTAGTTTTGCTAAAGAATGTAATTTTGTAACACAACAAAACTTCAAAAACCTGTGAGGGGTTTACATATAAGACTTATCATACAGCTTTATGGGGGTAGTCCCTTCCGTCACCTCCGCCTCTTTCACTGGCGTACTGATAGGGGGGGGGCAGTAACCCCCCCCCCCCCCCAAATACAATTTAAACATGGGTTATTTTTAATTTGATACCAGTGATTTACAAGTATTGCTAAAATGGCAGTATTTTTCCATGAGCTCCCGGGGCTCTACCCCCTGGAACCCACCAATTGCCCTAAGGCGGGCTCCTGTTTGCTCATATGGCCGTAATTAAATGCCTAAAGTCCTTGAGCTTTGGGGGGGCTCTGCCCTCTGGACTCAACCAAGGGGCCTATTAAAGGCGGGTCCCTAGATGCGTAATTTGGTGCCCAAAAGCCCTTCCGTTATGTATTTCTTATGTATATTTCTTATGTATTTCTTAGTCTTTCTTTCTCCATATCCTCTGCACTCTCCTTTATAATTTTTTTGTTTTCCCTTTTCTATTACCTTCCCTTCTCTGGGTATACGTGCTTGTACATGTACTATATATGGCTAAACAGTTTTGTAAAAAAAATATGCGCGAACGGTCAAGGAGTAAGAAGAAGGCAAAAAGAGAACAAAGACGGCATCCATGGAAGCCATGTGAGAGTGTCCACTTTTTTCGCTTTTACTTTCACCCTTGCATTCTTCCCTGAATCAGAGTTTTCTCACACCTTGTTGACTCGTGCAGGTTATGATCTTGTGTGTGTGTGTGTGTTTGTGTGTGCGTGTGCGTGTGCGTGTGTATGTGTGTGTGTGTGTGTGCGTGTAACGAAATAACGTATACAATAGCTTGGCAATTATCATGGTTATGAGAAACAATGTGAAAGGAAATGAGAGAATAATGGTCGCGTAGCTTAAATCAAAGTTCCCCATTGCAGTCCTCTCTTTTTTGATATTTTTGCATTTTGTTTTCTTAAGAGGTGTAGCGCCAGAAGAAAGAAGAGGAAGAAGAAAAGAAACGGGTGAAGAAGGAGATCGGGGGGGCGAAAGGGCCTTGCCTCCCCTTGCACCCCCCCCCCCCCCCTTCAATAAAAAATAAGAGAGAAGGAAGGAAAGGGAAAGGGTAAGAGGAGATAAAGGGAAGGAAAAAGAGGAAGAAGAAAAGAAAAGAAAGGGGATATCATTTGCAATTTTCCCACCGGTGGATCGAGGAGGGGCAAAAGGCCCTTACCTCCCCCCGCCCCCGCTATAACAAAGAGAGAAAGAAGGAAAAGGGAAAGAGGAGAGCTAAAAGGGAACAAAAAGAGGAAGAAGAAAAGAAAAGGGTGAAAAGAACGGGAGATCAGTTCCGGTTAATCCTGCCAACAACGTGTGGATCGGGGTGGGGGCCGAAAGGCCTTGCCCCCCCTCCCAACCCCCCCCCCCCCCCTCAGCAAACCTTAAGGAGGAGAGAAAGGGAAAGAAGAAAAAAGAGAAAGAAGAAAAGGGGGCACTGGCGTACTGATAGGGGGGGGGCTTGGGGGAATTCAAATTCAAACGTGGTTTATTTCTAATTCCATAACGGTGGCTTACAAATAATGCTGAATTCTTTTCGAGATTTTTCCTCAGTTTTTAGTAAATTATACTTTTGTATGCGTTTGTTGGAAAATGACAAATTCCTAAATTTACAGCCAGGCAAGAAATATGATTCTTGAGAAAAGTTAGGGCCCGGGGATCGGCTGGAATCGCAAGCCTCGAGCTCCCCCCCCCCCCCTCCACTTTTTTTGAAAAGGTATAGTAAAGAGAAATAGAAATAAAGAGAGCAAGACAGAAAGAATAGTTAACTAGCTGCTCATCTGACCGAAATTAAACACCTAAAAACCCCTGAGCTTCCGGGGTTCCGTCCCTTGCACCCCGCCTAGGGCTCTAGACTCCCCTGGATGCTAATCTGACAGAAATGTCATGCATAAAACCCCTGTTTTCTGGGGGCTTCGCCCGCTGGACCTCACGCCAATTAGTGTCCTGCCAGTGTCACAAATAAGGTATAAAAAAGGGGGAAAAAATAGAGAGAAGAGGAAAGGAAGAGGACGTAGGGAGAAAAAGGAGTAGACAAAAAACATCTTTGAAATTCAGACAAGGATTAAGAGTCGAGAACGGTACAACGAATCGTTTTCTTTCGTCAATGATTTAATGAAACGTAAAAGTTTCCGCGCTTCGCGCGGGAGGGGAAAATTGCATTCAAACGAGGATAATTTTCGAGAACGCTATAACGAATCGTCTTCTTTTACTAATAGTTTAATGAAACGTCAAAGCTTCCGCGCTGCGCGGAGGGGGGGGGCTGAATTTAGACAAGGATTAAGAGCTCGGAGAATGGTACAACGAATTGTCTTCTTTCTTTTATACTTTAATGAAACGTCATATATAGCTTCCGCGCTTTGCAGAGTAGGGAGGGGGAAACTCGCCCCTCCCTATTATTATTATTAAAGTTTGCAAAACGGGCTGATTGATCACGACTCCGGACACAAAACTACGAAACAATGCTGTCAAATATATAAACAAATTTTCAGATTATAATCTAATATTTATATTAGATTATATGGTAATATTCATATATATATATGTATACACATACACAACGTATATATATAGATATATATATATATAGTTACATGTATGTACATACACATAATACCGTATCCGGACACGTACCCCCTGGACATCCAACCCCGGATAACCATCCCCGGTAAACTACCTCCTAGGACAACTACCCCCTAGGCCAACTACCCCCTAGGGCAACCACCCTCTAGGACGACTAGCCCTGGACATCCACCTCCGGATAACCACCCCCAGTCAACTACCCCCTAAGGCAACCACGCTCTAGGACGACTAACCCCGGGACAACTACCCCCGGACAACTACCTCAGGCAACTACACCTTAGGGCAACTACCCCTAGGACAATTCCCCCGGACAACTACCTCCTAGGACAACTACCCCCTAGGGAAACTACCCTCTAGGACGACTAACCCCTGTACATCCACCCCCGATAACCACCCCCAGTCAACTACCCCCTAGAACAACTACCCCCTAGGAAAACTACCACCCATGGCAACCACCCTCTAGGACGACTACCTCCGGGACAACTACCCCCGGACCACTATCCCTTAGGACAACTACCCCCTAGGACAACTAACCCCCGGAAAACTACCCTCCAGGACAACTACCCCCTCGGAAAACTACCCCGGACATCTAACCCCGACAAGTACCCCCTAGGGTAGTTGTCCTATAGGATGGTTGTCGTAGGGGGTAGTTGTCTGGGGGTAGCTGTTTGGGGGTAATTTTCCGGGGGAAGTAGTCTGGGGTAGTTGTCCTAGGGGGTAGTTGTCCTACGGAGAAGTTGTCAGGGGGTAGTTGTCCTGGGGGTAGTCGTCCTAGAGGGTGGTTGCCCTAGGGGTAGGTGTCCGGATACGGTATTATATGTGTACATACATGTAACTATAATACTTATATTTTTTATAAACATATATATGAATATTAGCATATAATCTTAAATATCGTTTATATGTTTGTCAGCATTGTTTCGGAATTAGCAATTTTTTCTGTTGGGGACCGGGGAAAATGCAATAAATAATTGATAATTTATTGCATTTTCTTTGTTCATTATTATTTGTGGGGGCTGCCTCCTTACCCTAGCACCCGCTGCGTACAGTCATGATTCAGTGGTAAAGCAATAGCCTCGTAACTGTGAGGCCCCAGAATCAAAACCGTGTCGATGTGCTATTTTAGTGCCCTTTCGTGAGACATTCATCCCCATTATTGTCAGTTATGAGGTAGATCCCCTAGTTAATAAGCATAGAAGCAAACCCATGCTTTAGCAGTTACATAAAACAAACACTTGCAAATTATTGTTCAATTAAATCTAAGAATGTATACCATTATTTAGATCTATTAGGAATAAATCATTGTTAAAATCATTCCATAAATTAGGATAGACAAATATCATTCCATCTTTATGACCAACATTGTATATACACATATATTACAAAAACAATCTATACAGATTTTCGTCATCTTTTAGTTCATTCCCCCTTTTGTCTCTCTGCCCCCTCTCTTTCTCTCTTTATCTCCATTTATCTTTCTCTCTCTCCCTCTGTCTCTCCCTCTTGGCTTCTTGGATTTGATTTTCTTAACGTAGACCTTTTGAATAGTTCTGTCTCGACAATCGAAAAAAAGAAAAGAATTTAAATTATTTCTTCACACAGAAAAATGAATATACGAATATACCGTTTTATTTGAATTGTATGGTTCATTGAAATACTGAACCTGGCAGCGCGTAGGATAAATGACTTTTAGTTTACAGTCATGATTAAAGAAACTTCACTTGCACATCATGGTTTCAAAATTATGGACACGACGTGGAAACATTAAAAAGAACATTCAGCAACAACAACAAAACTAAATATTTTTAAAACAGGTTTAAATCATGTTTTTAATAATAATACAAATAATTGTTTCTGATCAAGGGATTTTACTAAATACTGATTAGAGCGGTGATTCAACAAATACAACAAATGTATTTGGAACAATTACATATATACATAGAGCTCTTATGCCTAGGTCACATTTCCTCTACGGCTAGGATATGGTGGCCGTACGCCCCCGAGATCGAGAGATAATAGCGGCGGCCGCAGAGAATCTGCGGTGGGCTCAGGGTCACCCTAGGGCGTTTCTCTATCTTTACAGGACGTACGGGTCGCCATGTTTTCATTTCTAGGTTCGCCGTAGCGATTAGACACGCCGTAGCCATGCACTTAGAGCCTTCCACGGCGACCGTACGTCGGGCGTACGGTGGCCTTGCGTTTTATACTCCAGGGGTGAAGCGGTAGCATTAGTATGGTCGCACGGTCACCGTATAATCCCTCTTCGGCCACCTTGCGGGCACCTTGTCCAAACGCTACGGCCGCCGCAGGAACGCCCTAAGATCACAGTGTGTCATCATTTCAAAGGCCATACGGCAGCCGCAGATTTTCTGTCCCCACAAATTCAAAATACGTCGTGCGTCTACCCTAACATATATGACCGCCACCGTGTGTGACTATGGGAATGCTGCGGCGGTCTTATTGCTATTGGCCGTAGATATTTTAGACCGCACGGCCGCGGCGGCAAATGTGACCTAGGCATCAGAAGTAAACATAGTAATTATAGATGTGTAAAGATTGGGCATAAGATGATCAATAGCAATGTTATAAAAGACAAGGACATAATAATAGCATCAGACTTTCGTGGCTTGAGCAGCACATCCTGTCCAAACCAAATCTGCATCAGCCCCCCCCCCCCCCGATCTGAGTGGCGCCTTTAGTGAGCGCTACAAGTCTGGCCGCGGAGTTCTCTAGTTGTCAGAAGCGTTGCAGCTTGTAGTTAGGAAGATGTATCAGAAGAGAATTGCAACATTCCAAAATTCTAAGCGGGAAGAGATGAGTGAATGAATCATGGTTTCAGTAGCCTTGCGTGGCAGGAATCCCGTAGATGTGCGAAAGGTTGCAGAGTTGGCATCTAATTGCTGGGATACATGATGATTTCGGCATGTTCGAATCGATGACAACACCACTGTTCCGGCATTTATTTGTAGGGCTGATCTGATCATCACAAAATGTAACATAAGGAATCACATATATATAAAGGTCTCAGGATGATGTGTGATGTATATACTTGTTACATTAAACAAAGACCAAACTTCATGAAGTGAAATATTTGTAGGAATGAGTAGGTCATAATGTAAACTGATTTTCTACCAGATGCATGCAAACTTTGGGCTCGACTGTAAGGATATGTTGAGATAATTGTAAGAATTATTCGATAATCTGAGGAAATATGGTAATGAACTTTTACGCTGTCAGCTTAACTTTGGGTGTCCCATCCCTTTGGGTTTCTAATGAGGCAGGTCTCCAGACAGGTACGTTGATTCTCTCAAGTGGTTTGCTACCAAGGATCATATCAGATGCCTTCTCTGCTATCATAATGACTGTAGCATTGGTGTTCCCGCTGCAGATGCTGGGCATAATGGACGCATCAACAACTCTGAGATTCTCCAGTCCAATGACTCGGGTGTTGCTGTCAACAACGGCCATAGGATCCTCTTCAGAACCCATCTTGCAGGTAGAGACTGGGTGGTAGATAGTTTCCCCTTTGGCACGGATAACGGCATCCAGCTCAGAATCAGTCTGGACAGATGCCCCTGGTGTCACTTCCTCTCCTCGGAACTCATCGAAGGCTTTCTGCGCAACGATCTCTCGAACAAGCTTGACACTTTCTCGTTGATCCCTACGGTCACTCTCAGTGTCAAGGTAGTTAGGATCAATTATAGGATACTCTGTAGGATCACGAGACTTAAGCTTTATGAATCCCCGGCTGGTCGCTCTCAATGTGTTGACATGAATCTGGAAGCCATGGCAGTCGCCCGGTACTTGCCCATGCTGATGAGCGATTGATGGCACAAAGTGCATGTGGATATCAGGATGCTTTACTCCAGCACGACTCCTTATAAAAGCACCAGCTTCGACATGATTCGTGGCCGCGAGACCTTTCTGGAACATGAACCACTCAAGACCGATGGCTATCATAGTGAGAGGATTTTTCCACTGGGCACTGTACAGTGTAATGGGCTTCGTACAGGTATATTGGACATAGAGCTGAAAGTGATCTTGGAGGTTCTGTCCTACACCGGGAAGATGTGCAACCACTGGGATGCCGAGCGCTTTCAACTCATCTGCATTTCCCACACCAGACAACATTAGCAACTGAGGCGAATTGACTGTCCCCCCAGATAGAATCACTTCTTGTGAGGCTCTTGCAACCTTCTTTCCCTTTTTACAGGTGAACTCAATACCTATCGCTTTTGTTCCATCAAACAAAACTCTATCGCATAATGATCGTGATTGGATCGTCAAATTTGTCCTTTTTCGGACATCGGCTGTTCGAAGGTATGCATTGGATGTATTCCATCGTATCCCCTTGTGAACCGTCATATCCAAGTATCCAAACCCTTCTTGCTGATACCCGTTCTCATCGGATGTGTATGGATATCCGCATTCCATACCAGCTTGGACGAAAGCATCGAAAAGGGGATTTTTGGATTTGCCCCTGCAGACATGAAGTGGGCCATCCCCTCCTCTGTAGTCATCTCCACCACGCTCGTTACACTCCATGCGTTTGAAGTACGGCAGACAATCCGCGTAAGACCATCCTGTGGCGCCCTCTGTCTCCCACCTATCGTAATCATCAGCATGTCCTCTGACGTAGACCATTCCGTTGATGGATGAAGTGCCCCCTAGGACCTTACCTCTTGGCCAGAATATCTCCCTGTTGTTCAAATTCCTTTGAGGAACTGTGTGGTAATACCAGTTGTAGGTCTTGCTACCGAGAGGGTACATCAGGGCAGCAGGCATGTGGATCTTCCAGGTGTGGTCTTTGCGTCCGGCTTCCAGAAGAAGAACCTTGTTTGTAGGGTCGGCAGAGAGACGGTTGGCCAGAACACATCCTGCAGACCCCGCTCCAACGATGATGTGCGTGTACTCATCATTATCCCTTACCCTACTTAGAACGCTCAATGACTTCCGATGCTGGTAATGTGAAGTAGCAGGAAGAATAGACAGTTTCCTCAAGCTGTTTATGCCTGTATAGAAAGATAGAAAGAAAGATATTTACTGATTGAAGTGATAGAAGTTCTATATATACATGTAGTATTACGACATAGCGCTACAAACATTAAAAAAAAACTAAATACTTATAGGTGATTTTTCCATTTTAGTTTGATTTGAGTCTTTTTATTCATTTAAAACACAACCATCCTCCAAACCAATGAAGAATTCAGTATTAGCAATGACAATGCATTTTGCGACTTTTCACATTTAAATTGGGCCCCCGTTCAGGTGTACTGCATGGTTCAAGGACAACTACCCCCTACGACAACCATCCTTTATGACAACTACCCCCGGGATAACTACCCCCGAGGCAACTTCCCCCGGTCAACTACCCCCGGACAACTACCCCCGGACAACTACACCCCAGACAACTAACCCCTAGGATAGTTGTCCGGGGGGTAGTTGTCCTAAAGGATGGTTGTCGTAGGGTGTAGTTGTGGGGGTAGTTGTCCGGAGAGTAATTATCCGGGGGTAGTTGTCCTAGGGGTAGTTGTCCAAGGGGGATAGTTGACTGGGGGTGGTTATCCGGGGGTGGATGTCCAGGGGGGGGGGGGGGGGTGTCCGGATACGGTACTGCACATCCCATGATTACATAATCATTACAAGATGCACCATTGTAAAGGGAAATAACAAGGGTTTTCATGATACCAAAGCATGAAACTAGTAACAAGAGAAAAATCAACGCTCAATATTGAATTGCAGAACTTTTTGTTGTGTTTATAAGGAAGATTTTTTTTCTTCTTCCAGTTACCTTCCCTTTACGCGGTATTAAAAAGGACCATTTAGTTGTACCCCGGCCCCTATGATTTATACCTACGACATTGTTGATTCTTAACCAACCAGGATGTATACTAAATCAATCAGGTAATACGAATACATGCAGTCGTCGTTTTAGACGCCTCTTGTACACCCATATGACTTTCTTAATTCTTTCAACAATTGATTTGATTTTGATTTGATTTGATTTGATTTATTTACCAACACCAATTGTACAGTAATACATTTCATACAATGTGTTTACATATACAAGAAAATAAACTATTGGTTGGTAAAAGGGGCAAGATAATAGCATATGTGCTAGTTAAGCCCTGCCCACAGCTGATCAAAGTACGTTGGTAAAAATCACTGAGTTTAGAAAACGTAACAAAACCTTTAAAATGAATTTATTATTACAATTAAGCGCTAGTTTAAAATAAGAAAAATTTATTCAATGTCTTACAAGGCACCAACTGATAAATGTAACTAATATAATTTGTGTAAACATGCAGATTATTAACTTGATATAAAAAAATAAAAAAAAAGTTATATATTTCCGAAAAATCAACTCGGGTAACTTCAAAACCCGATTATATGCCATATAGACATCATATTCAGATTACGCGTCATTGACATGTCCGCACATATTTTATAGGTGACGCAAATGGATATTAGAGACTTTTAGATTTGCACGTCAACATAGTGGACTGCTACGTGTGACGTTCTTTTAAGGCACTAAAAGGACGTCATACGACGGTAGCAGTCCACTGTGTCGACGTGCAAATCTAAGTCCCTATAGAAAAAGATCGGTTTACTAATATTCAAATGCACTAGGTCCCCGGGAATTTTATTTATTTATTTATTTATTTATTTCTAATATTTTGACAGGGTAGCCCATTCACCAACAAGTAGTGGTCTTCCATGGGGCCCTGAATGAACATATTTACATCGTTTATAACATTTATACAGAATGATTCATTCCCGGGGACCTAGTGACGACGTATTCCATTAACCTCTTATTAATGAATGAACCAGGGGCGGCGATCCCGGGGGGGAGGACACGTCCCCCCCCCCCCTCAATTTTTTTAGGGGGGGGGGGGTCGTCCCCCCTCAAAATTTGAAAAAAGTGCCAAAAAAATGTATAGCAAATACTGACTAAAGATTGCAACACACTTTTAGGCTCTAGAGGGCCAAAGAGTGTAGCGTTTAGACAAATAAAACTGCAACATTTTTCTCACTCGGCAGCTACGCTCCCTCGCATAATCTCCTTCAAAATGTATAAGTAAATACTGAGAAAAGTAAAGTGTGAAAAATTATATTCCTTGTTTTTATACTATAGTTTTGCTAAGGAATGTAGTTTTTTAATACAACCAACTTCAAAATCTGTGAGAGGAAAGTCACTTCCGTCACCTTCACCCCTCTCATTCACTATGCTCCCTCGCACTCGCATATTGATGGGGGGGGGGGGGAGAAGGAGCTTTGGGGAAGTTCCCCCTCAAAAAATTAAATTCAAACGTGGTTTATTTCTAATTCGATACCAGTGATTTACAAATGTTGCTGAAATGACATTTTTCCCTGAGCTTCCGGGGCTCTGCCTCCTAGACCCCACCAATGCCCTAAGGCGGTCCCTGGATGCTCATCTGATCGTAATTAAATGCCTAAAACCCCTGAGCTTCTGGAGGCTCAGCCCCCTGTACCCTACTACAATTAGTGACCTGCATGTCAGTGCAAGTCACAAATAAGGTATCAAAATATGCTACTCTGACCGTAATTAAATGCCTAAAACCCCTGAACTTCCGAGGGCTCTGCCCCATGGATGCTCATCTCACCTTAATTTAATGCCTAAAACTCCTGAGCTTCCGGGGACTCCGCCCCTTGATGCTCATCTAACCTTAATTAGATGCCTAAAACCCCCGAGTTTCATGGGGCTCCACCCCTTGACCCCCGCCAGGGATTTGCCCCTGGACCCCACGCCAATTTACGCTCCATTGCTTCGCTCGCTTTGCTCTACCTGATCGTAAATACTTAGCCCCCCCCCCCCTACCCACTTTGAAACAAACGTTGCCAGGGCCTGCGTAACATGTGAGAGTGGGGGTAATGCGGTTTTTTTCTCCCCCCCCCCCCGAACGTTTTTGCTCATTACGCCACTGCTCCCTCGTCCCTCACATTTCGTCCCCCCCCCCCCGGTCATGAAAAGAAATCGCCGCCCCTGGAATGAACTACAATACTATGAATCCAGTCTACATTCATTACTCGTTGTTATGTCGGGTAGTCAATAATAACCTCTTTAAACAGTAGGCCTATATGCATACAATTTGAATATGTTAGTAAACTGGTTTATTACCCTAGCATGATTTTTCGAAAGTACATTTTGATATGGTGTTCAATATATTAATCATATACACGTTTGCGAATTATTATGACTGTACTGTGTCCTATCGTGCACATTTCTGATATGTATTCTTCGGATTTTATTTCCAAACATCTTAATGGTATAGACCAGTTTTGAAATTTCGCTCATTACGCCACTGCTCCCTCGTCCTTCACATTTCGTCCCCCCCCCCCCCGGTCATGAAAAGAAATCGCCGCCCCTGGAATGAACTACAATACTATGAATCCAGTCTACATTCATTACTCGTTGTTATGTCGGGTAGTCAATAATAACCTCTTTAAACAGTAGGCCTATATGCACACAATTTGAATATGTTAGTACACTGGTTTATTACCCTAGCTTGATTTTTCAAAAGTACATTTGCTATGGTGTTCAATATATTAATCATATACACGTTTGGGAATTATTATGACTGTACTGTGTCCTATCGTGCACATTTCTGATATGTATTCTTCGGATTTTATTTCCAAACATCTTAAAGGTATAGACCAGTTTTGAAAACGCCCCCTCTCAAAAAATTAAATGTAAAAGCTCTTATTACCAATCATGTGGAAGAATATGTTTTGACTAATACGTGATGATACAAATTTAGCCGGGAAACCGCTTACTAATTGATATATTTGGTAAATTATCATATCGATCCGACCTGGATAGACATCGCGAAAGCACTTCAACATTAAACATTTGGGCATAGGCCCTATATTTCTGTTTGTTTTTTTCAAATTTAAGTTGAAGTATTGCCAACTAGACCTCTGAAGGCAATATTTAAGCAATATCGAATGGATATTTTGCACCCCAAAACCCTTGAACCGCAATTTTACCACTACCGGTCTATATCTTCAATTCTGGTTGTCTCTCCCCTCCTTCCATATGGAATTTATTTTTAATACTGCACGTACCTTGTCTAATCGAGGCCAACGTCAGGTTCATGGTGACTTCAGGATCAAACCAATCATACCACAGAATAAGAAATAAAGATTTTATTACGGAAGGGCTTCGCAATAATCAAATCATTGCTAGACGGATGATATATAGTACTTTGTTGACTGAACTTTGATCCATAGGTAATAATGTTATGTACGTGCGAGTGCAAGGAGGTGTCACCTCCCCGTTTGGTATGTGTCATAAAAATGCGTGCTTGTCTGCGATACGGTGTCGTTGTTATAGTATCCATACTATGTTGAATCAGGGATATGAGAGTTAGAGGGGCATACAAATCACACGATTCTAGCATGACCGAACTCTATTTTATATTTGTTTTATAATAAATTATGTTAATTTTGCCTTTGTCGCATATGAGAAAGAGGGGAACAACGGCAGGGATCAAAGGTTATCTTTGGCCTTTACCAACAAGTTTGACAATACATCCTGAACTTCGCAGAAAGATAATATTGAGGACACGGGCTGATTGCATGATCAAGCCGACCCAATAACAAGAGGAGGGGCGGGGCACAATTGCAAAACCCTAATTCATACTCACCACGGGCGGATCTAGGGGGGGGGGGGTTTCGGTGGTTTAACCCCCCCCCCCCCTCCTCTCCCGTGGGCGGCCAGGTGAAAAAAAAGGGGGAAAGGAAAAAGAAGAAGAAAAAAAGTAAGACAGTAAAACGGCGCGATTTTCGGAAAATCCTGGAACCGCCACTGGGTCACCCCCCCCCCCCCCCCTTGGCAAGAAGCTAGATCCGCCCCTGCTCACACTATGTTATAGGTACCTGGTAGAACCATCAAAATGGCAAGAAATATGGGGGAAGCCAAAAATCTTATTTTGAAAGGATCTGTGCTGATTTGATTTCTGAATAGCAGACGTATTTACTTTTTTTCAAACAGTCTACGCCGTCTTTGTCAAACGTTTGTTTTGTAAAATTGTCTAGTGTATATAAACGCCGGATATAAACTCGACGGAATTTTCCAAAACCGAAACGCATGTATTTAATGTATATTTTTTTACTTTAGCATGCCTGAATGTGATAGACCACTAACGCGTGCTTTGTGCTCTCACACACACAAACACACTTACCAACACAAAAAACGTATCAAATTTCATTTCAATGAATTCCATATTTCTGCTCGCTTGCAACCCCGTTTCCGTCATCTCTCTTTATTTTACTCCAGCTTACTCTCTCCATCCTTCCAACCCGTTTCTCTCTCTCGTGTATGCATCCATGATTCTCTCTTTTTCTCCTTGTCTCTCTCTCTCTTCTTCTTCTTCCTCCCAGCTATCTCCTCCCTCTTCATTTCTCTCTCCGCCCCCTCTCTCTCTTCTTCTTCTTCCTCCCAGCTATCTCCTCCCCCTTCATTTCTCTCTCCGCCCCTCTCTCTCTCTCTCTCTCTCTCTCTCTCTCTCTCTCTCTCTATTTCCCTGTCTATTTATGTCTGTACTCGTCTTTTGCACATTCTTCCGATAAATTTGCTCTTTCTTTCCGCCTGTTCTCCCATTTGATCTTTAAACTTTCCTTCCTCGTGAATTATATTTACATACCCTGCTTTTCACTCTGATATCAGAAAATGTGTTTTCCCGGAGCACAATAATATGAAACTTAGCATGTCGTTTTGGAGAAAGGATGACTCCAGGTGAAATTTAATCTTGAGATGAAACATCATATTCCAAAACTTAACTAAGATGCTCTACATGGATGTAATACCTATTTTTAAAGCATTTCTGCTCTAGTTTGGCCAGGAGGGATTAGACCTCCCTGTAAGGCCACTGACAGGTGGCTATCTTATCAAATCAGCTCTCAATTAACATAAGAAAAAGGGGATCATGGGGGACCAACGGGTACCGCTTAGGCATTGTTTGCTATTATAGCGGGCGCAAGTAGCTATAAGCAGTCAGAGCAATATGTACACAGAATTTGGCCAAACCGGTTTGAGTTGGTCACAATATGGCGACTACTGCTCTGTTGGGCAAGCATAAAACAAAATATACGCCACATTGTGACCCAGTGAAACCAAGTTGACCAAACTCTCCTAATTAATGGCCCTGCAAGTAATGCAGTCCCGCTTTAAATGCCTTTTACTTCGGTTAATTTTAGCTGAATACAGTAGTATTTATTTTAACAAAACCGAGATAGAGACAAACCATGGAAAATGCAGATAGTGTTTATAGGAATTATTCTGACCTAAAGAAGAAAGACTCGAGTTGCACGAATAAACCAAAGTTATGTCACTGCCAACAATATTGAACCCCTGGATTTACAACAAACTCAATGAAATCGTTGAAAAAAAGAAGATAAACATAAAAGATAGTCAAGCACATAAGCAACCGCTTAATATATAAACATGTTTATTAATTTGAAAGAATCGTTGGTGATAACATGCAAGGTACATCACGGATAATACTGATAATAAGAAAAACAATTTCATTAAAGGCTTCCATGTAGTGTAATTTGTTTGAAAGCACGTGCATCCGAGTAAACATGTATAGAAAATAGATGAGTGCACATCCATGCAAAGTTCACATCCTACAAGTATACATACTCCGGAAGGTGCCCCTCCCCCTTAAAATCAACATGGTATGGCATTAGTACACATTTCTAACAAAAAGCATAGATGCACTACCCCCGCCCCCCCCCCCCCCCCAATCAAGTTGATGACCTCTTTCTTTCTCTTTTTAAACCTGGATCCACCTCTGAGAATACATACAATGAGATGTGCCAGGTAGTTTGTTTATTCATCTAAATCAATATTGATACTGATAATCATGATAATGGAACTAACAATATTTAGCAAGTAACATTCACTATGATTGTCACCAATAATTCAATGTTGGCAACATTTCTAAGGGAAAATTTAACAATAACCAAAATATCAATTATAGGCAAAAAAAAAAATTGTTTTCAAGAGGGGAGGGTGACATTTACATGTATAAAATTAGTAAGAGGTTTTTTGTCTGTATTTACTTTTCATAGGGAACATTGATTTACATTTTTGTACCAAAATCTGTAGCTCTGAAATGTGCAGCTTTTCCCAGGCTGCTACTGCCTTTGTCAGTGCTGTTACCTGAACTTGCCTAAATCAGCCAAGTATACCGCAGAAAGGTCAAGCCGGGTCAAGTTGATGACAAAGGCTGTAGCTACACAGTTGACAAGTTTAAGAGGATTTTTTGTTTAAATCAAGATAAAAAAGTTTAACTCTTCACCATCATATTCCACCAACACAGGTGAGCTTTTAGAATAAAATTCCCTTTACTGTTTCAGGCTTTTTAATTTCTCAGCCAGAGGAAAATAGTAAACAATGGTATACTTTGTACCTATTTGGGTATTACATTGCACAATGAGTCAGTTTCTGATTGATAACAATGTAATCAGTTAGCACTCAATTGTATGACATAGATACAGATTATGAAACAATTTTCCTGTTGTAGCTACTCAATAATCAATTCATAAACACTTGACTGTCCTGTATATGATACATAACAGAGCTAACAAATTTGATAGAATGTAATATATTTCATAATAGCACTTTGAATGAAAAGAGATTTGTTCTCTGTGCTTTTTTTTTTCTTCTTGTTTGTTTTTTGGCAATTGTGTTTTGTCTAATTTAAAGAATACTTTTGCAGCTACTTTGCAGAAATTTGTACAAAATCCTGTAGTAGCTATTCAATGATCATTTCACAAACACTTTACTGTCTTGTATTTGATACATCACAGAGATTTTAAATTTGATAGAATTTAATACTGACATTTTATAATAGCACTTTAAATGAAAGGAGATTTGTTCTCAGTGCTTTTTTTTTTGTCTTCTTGTTTATTTTTTTTAATAACTTTTTGCCATTGTGTTTTGTTTAATTTAAAGAATACTTTTGCAGCTACTTTACAGAAATTTGTACAAATGACAATCAAACAAAATTATTACTTTACATAATACTTTAAATACTTGTTATGAATATTCATACCTTTTCATGGTAACCAGCTGCATTTAGTTCTCTTTGGTACATTCATCTGCTTAAATAAGGTATGTACTAGTATGCATTAATAAATGAAAACACTTACATGGTTGACACTTGGCTACCAATATAATCTACTTGAACATAAAATTTATTCTTGTCATTTTTTGAGAATGTAGCACTAATTTAACAAAATGATAGATTCCATATAATGTGATTTTTCATGAAAGCTCTGAGTGTGATTTCAGTGATTTTATGGTTTTCTTTCGTAAATTGCATAAAGGAATGAAAATACTAACACATGTTAGTTGCATATATACATTACAAAATATACCCAATAGTATTAAAGTGTACTAATCAGGCAATCAGAAAACAAAAATAACAAATTCAAAATTTGAGATTCCAATAGTAACTCCATAAAGTGATACTGCATGTTTGTACATGATGTATACACTCGATCAACATAAACATGACTTATGATTAGACTAGTCACCACATATTTGCATGCTCGCATTGAATAGAACCTGCACAGAACAAAAGTCTGGCTTGGGTTCTACATGTATGTGCTGGGTTTTATGTTATTCATATATTTTTTTTCTACAAATATACTCCTGAACTGTTACCCCACACATTGCCAGTTCAAATTATTGAGGATCAGTTTACACTTTCCAGGCTAGCTGACATACACATATCGTGTTTTAGGCGATGTATATTATAATGGCACTTTGTGACACCCAAGTGATAAAATGTCTTTGGTATATACTGCTCCTTGTATAACAATTGGTTATAAAATATTTATTTACTGATTTTATAAAAGGCAAACATACTTAGCATAAGGCATATCGTCGGTGGGGTGACAAAACCTTGGATCTCAATTTTTTTTTTTGCATAATTTTGTACCTAATGGCCTACAGCACCACCTGATAAATCCATGGAACGACTCCTGTCTCGGTTTTTCACAAATTCCACACAAACACCCTTAAACTAAACCTTGTAATTTTAACCCCCTTTGAAGCTGCACTGACAAAACCTTGTAACATAAGATACGTAATTCCTTCTTCTTGTAGCTCACACACGGCCTAACAGTACCGAAGTTAGTGTATTCAAATCCTTGTAAGTTATTCAACCAAATCCTCGTAACTTATTCAGAGTTGAAAGTAAGAACTTGTATCTCAATTTGAATAAAAACTAAAAACTTGTATCTCAATGTAGATAAAAGCAAAACCTCGTAACTCACTTTCAAATATAAAAACAATTATTTTACTGTATTTCAACAATGACATTAAAAATTGTATAAATATTCCAGTTTTAAAAAGAAAGGACGGTGTCACAGCACTAAATTTGGTGAGACAGGAAAGTTTTTTCGCTCTCCTGAAAATTAATGATTTTTGAGATACAAGGTTTTGTCACCCCACCGACAGTATACCATTAAACAGAATCTCAAAATGATCAGGTATATAATGCTTTGAACACCTGCAGAATGTACAAGTATTAACACATCCATTCACGTCTTTTGACCCGTTGACTACTGAATTGTATAGGTCCCATAGGTTAACACAGGGACCACCAGGTTCCCGTTAGCAAAGGGTTAACCAGTAGCTGCCTGCTTCATATCTCCCAAACCCCTTTGGGTTTCTAATGAAGCAGGCCTCCAGACAGGCACGTTGGCTCTCTCAAGAGGCTTGTTGTCCAGGAGGATATCAGCTGCCTTTTCTGCAATCATAATTGTTGGAGCATTGAGATTGCCACTGACGATACTGGGCATGATGGACGCATCCACAACTCTGAGATTCTCCAGGCCAAAGACCCGGGTGGTGCTGTCGACAACGGCCATATGATCCTCTTCAGAACCCATCTTGCAGGTGCAGGACGGGTGGTAGGCAGTATCTCCTTTGGCCCGGACGAAAGCATCTATCTCTGCATCTGTGTTGACAGAAGGGCCTGGCTGAAGTTCCTCTGCACGGAATGGATCAAAGGCACTCTGAGCAAAGATCTCGCGGGTGAGCTTGATACCTTCTCTCAAACCCCAACGGTCATCCTCGGTGGCAAGATAATTGGGATCAAGAATTGGATGTTCCCTGGGATCCTTTGATCTGAGCTTCATGTACCCCCGGCTGGTTTCCCTCAAGGTACCGACATGAACCTGAAAGGCATGGCAGTGGCCAGGGTCCTGTCCATGGTTATTGACGACTGATGGAAGAAAGTGGTACTGGATATCGGGATGATCTAATCCGGGACGACTCCTGATGAAAGCTCCCGCTTCCAGGTGGCTAGAGGCTGCTAGTCCAGTCTGGAAAATAAACCACTCCAGACCGATGGCTACCATATTGTGAGGAAATTTCCACTGGGCTTTGTACAATGTGATGGGTTTCTTGCATCGATGTTGGACATAGACCTCGAGATGATCCTGAAGATTTTGTCCTACCCCCGGAAGGTGGGCAACCACCGGGATGCCCAGCTGTTTCAAGTCATCCGCATTCCCTACACCAGAGAGCATCAGCAATTGCGGCGAGTTAATTGCACCTCCCGATAAAATCACATCCTTTGTCGCTCTTGCAACCTTCTTCGCTTTATTCCGTGTGTACTCTATGCCAACTGCTTTTGTTCCTTCAAACACAATCCTATCAGCAAATGATCTGGAAAGGATAGTTAGGTTATCCCTCTTTCGGACTTCACCTGATCGAAGGTATGCATTGGCTGTGTTCCACCGTATACCATTGTGGATTGTCATATCCATGTATCCAAATCCCTCTTGCTGATTTCCGTTCATATCAGAGGTGACTGGATATCCACATTCTTCTCCAGCTTTGATGAATGCCTCAAATAGAGGATTATTTGATTTACCCCTAGAGACATGTAGTGGGCCATCGCCTCCGCGGAAGTCATCTTCACCAAGCTCGTGGCACTGGGCACGCTTGAAGTACGGCAGGCAATCTGCGTAAGACCACCCTGTGGCACCCTCTGTGTCCCATCTATCGTAATCGTATGCATGTCCCCTGACATAGCACATTGCATTGATGGAGGAAGAGCCACCAAGAACTTTACCTCTTGGCCAGTACATCTCCCTGTTGTCCATATGCCCCTGAGGAACTGTGTGGTAATACCAGTTGTAGGTCTTGCTGCCCAGGGGGTACATCAGGGCAGCAGGCATGTGGATCTTCCAGGTGTAGTCTTTGCGTCCAGCTTCCAGAAGTAGGACCTTGTTGCTAGGGTGGGCAGAGAGACGATTGGCGAGTACACATCCCGCAGACCCCGCTCCAACAATGATGTGCGTGTACTCGTCATCACTTCCATTGCTTTGAACACAAAACGGCCGAGACTGTTGGAAACTAGATGATGCAGGAAATATGGACAGATGCTTTACAGCATGCAATCCTGTAAAAGGAGACAAAAATTAAATCAAGAAATCAACCATCTATACTTCAATTTACTAGTATTTCCATTTCATGTACATATGTTGTCAACTCTGTTTCACAAATATGCTCCAAAGGTACCATACAAATGAATTGACAAATATCATGTAAAAGCAAAACAAGTGCTAGTAATTTTGTCAAATTGAAACTGCAATATGGCTTTTGGGGAAAGACATTGTACAGCACTAATGAGCAGAGTCAATAAGGAATAGTTGTAACTATATGTAGATGTAACAAATAATATTGAGAAGATGAAATTTGTATATTTGTACCGTATCCGGACACCTGCCCCCCCCCCCCTCCCGCCCGGATAACCATCCCTAGTATAACCACCCTCCAAATAACCCCTATGACAACTACCCCCAAGGGCAACCACCCCAGACAACTGGCCCCTAGGACATCTACCCTCGGACATCTACCCCCAGAAAACTACACCCTAGGATAGCCGTTCAGGAGGGGGGGGGGGGTAGTTGTCTTGGGTAGGATAGCCGTTCAGGAGGGGGGGGGGGGGAATTGTCTTGGGGTAGATGTCCGGGGGGTAGTTGTCCAGGGGGTATTTGTCCTTGGGGGTAGTTGTCTGGGGGTAGTTATCCTAGGGGGTAGTCGTCCTAGAGGGTGGTTGCCAAAGGGGGTAGTTGTCCTAGGGGGTAGTTGTCCTAGAGGGTGGTTATCCTAGGGGTGGTTATCCGGAGGCTGGTTGTCCAAGGGGCAAGTGTCCTAGAACCCTATATACATCCAAACTGGCCAGCTTATCTACATCTTTGAAAAAGGCAATACAGGTGCTAAGCATCCAAAATGAATAACATCTATTATCCCTAAAATACAATACTACAATGTTTCTCTTGATTCACAAATGCAATGGAATAGATAATCTAAATTACACACATTTTGGGGTCTAAAATACCTTCATAGCAATGTTATGTCCTAAAAAAAAGCACTAGAAATGTCATAAATAAGAATGCACTTTGAGGGCATTTGCGGTCTTAAACAAGAACTCAACTGTCCCTTTAAGGAGGAAAAACTGAAAATCATTTTGTATTGCTAGTATCTTGCTATTTATCATCTAAAAGCATAGGAATCAAACAAAATGTTTTTGAGGGCTTTCCTCGAACTATACACAACTCAAAGTACAACTATATGTACCTCTTGTGACCACCTGCCCCAGATATTGTAAATTATACATAAGTGTTCATAATATGCCAGACACAATTTGTTCTTTATTTGTAGATACAAAGTCATATCAGTTTTACTGCATACTATTAATGCTATCTCTTACCTTGTCTAGCTCTTGCCAAAGATAGATTCATGATGATGTCTTTAAATCCCGCTGCAGTTTTCCACCAGACAAAAACACTTCATCTGTTCAGTCCCACCGGAGGTTGGGTGGTACGTGATAACACGGAGCAAAAGAGATTTGAACTTTGAGTTTATACTGCTCATGCATTAACCCAGCATTGCACTAAAGTCCTGGCTCCCAAGCAGCGTGCCTAGCTGTACAAAGGGCGAGTAGATCGAAAAGTCAACATGGTGAGCCATTAAAAACAGGATTATTGTCTCCCAAAGACTATATAACAACAAATCAACAATTCAAAGATAAAGGTGATGGTTGATTGCATGCATGTGTATTATGTGTAAGATGCAGTACGGTGAGGATTTCAAAGGATCCAAAAGGAAAAAAAAGCAATCTTACTGAAAATTGCATGCACTTGAAACACAGAACTTTATTCATACACCTTGTAAATTTGATTTTTTTTTAATTTTTTTTTATTTTTTTTTTAAATAAATATTTTGTTTTGTTGTCTTTTTGTCTTCTTCTTTTATGGTGGGTGTTTTATTTTGTAACTCAAGAATGGAAAATCAACTGGTTGAATTATGGCCTTTGTTGGATACTTTCAGATGTAAGCTTTCATATGTCACATTCTCAAGATACATACACCAGGGGGTGTTTCACGAAGCCTTTTTTCAATGACAAATGACCAAAATCAGTGACAAATCTGTTGATAACCAATCAGAAGCAAGGATTTCAGTAGCTTATAACAACAACTGTCATTTGTCACTGATGACAAGTTTTGTGAAACACCCCCAGGACAATTCAATTTGTCATATATATACTTAACAAATTACAAAACCTGGTAATCAGGGGGTGAATGATTTAGTTGGTAACCAATTACCTACGGGAACTGGGTGGTCTCTGTATTAAGCCTATGGAAATGAAACAGTGAAAAAAATACACGGGGGCTCAGGGAGATTTAGCCCCGAAATGCCCAAAAGAGCCCCCGAAAATCAGAAAAGAGCCCCATAAATTTGCATAGAGTCCAATGCAAAACAAATTATAGACTGTTATTTTCATGTAGGCAAGCTTGAAAAGTAGCCCCCGAAAAATAAACATTAATTTTTTCCCTGAAATGAAAGGATTCAGGTACAATTTGGTCAAAACTTTCACAGCTATTTCTATTTCAAATATGAGGACATTTTGAAGAGCATTTCTTGTCATGGGGCTATTCTTCCAAACTGACATTTTTTTTAAATGTAAGGATTACAAATCATTTTTTAACTTTACTAAAAATATATCTTTTAATTACAGGATGGGTGTTGTGTCGATTGGTACACTTCATTGTACCTGTTGCTAGGTAGGGCAATCCATAATGTTTGTCCTACCATATGCAAAAACTTATGTTTGCAATTCACATTCTGACTATTGAAATACATTTATTTGTAAGAGGTGAATGAAATCATTTGTATTGAGGCACTCAACAAGGACTTATGCATCAAATTTGATTACATTACAAGAATGGCCTGTATACATGCATCATAAAGTAGGTATTGTGATATTTTGAATCTAGCATTCTAGTTCCAAAGGTTGCAAACATGCTGTAATATCCACTGATCAAAATCCAAGTTTGATTGTAATACTAATATTGTAATAGCTTTTGTCTTGTTTACCCAGGGTACCCTCTTCAGTACTGATACTGTTCTCACTGAGGCCTCTATTAATCATTACCCCAGTGGCTTTAGCGCTCAAGCATTCAAGGAATATCTTCCATCAGGTTCCCATACACCTGGGTTGAGAGTGGCAAACATAGGTTAAAGGTATTAATACAAAGTTTTGGGAAATTTTGAAAATTGGCTGGATAGTGATTTTTTTACAATTTTGATATATTTTGATGCCCTTGTGAATGCAATATAAGCAATTATAATGTTTACCCCCTTAAACACTATCTGCTTTCAAGAAAAATAAAGGTAAATTTTGATAAATTTCAAATAGCTACCAGTATACTCTTTGACCATGAAAATCTCAGAAGATGTAGTTGTGATATATAATTTCCAAACAGGAATAGCTAATTGGTTGATTTTAGTCAAGAACAATTGTTTTATAGCTTAATTAATATCTTGACCTTGAGAGGGTGCTATACAACATAGAGAGTTCATTATTTACAAATGTCATAACTTTAGACTCAATTTCAACCGCTATCAACAATCACTGAATATTGTAGGATCACATATGCTTCCAATAAGTTCATTTGAACTAAATTCATGGCCCCATACCAAAACTTTGTATTATATACCTTTACATATGTTATTCTTACATGTATTTCAAGGATGTATTTTTCTGTCACCAGCTGTTTGTGCTCTTTACCTCACTTCCACAAGTTCCACTTTTTTCCATCAGCTTCAAAGAGCATAATTATAATGTCTCTTTTGTTTATGCATCAATGTTATTCAGGAGACTAATCCCTACTCAGTCTCATCCCATTTCCTCCACATTTATCACCTTTAACCCTCAGTTCCTCTAGTTTCTTACACTATGAATATGACGGACAAAGAAAGCGGAAAAAATATACAGTTCCTCAGGTAGACAAAGGAACATCCCTTCACTGCTATTATGTAAAGAGTGAATATGCATGTCACACCTAGCTGTTCTACACATTAATAGCAGTGAGGGGATGTTCCTTTGTCTACCTGAGGAACTGTATATTTTGTCCCCTTTCTTTGTCAGTCAAGTTCATAGTGTTAGTTCTTCCATTTTTTAGTCTCTCTATTTATTTCACTTTTGTATTAATTGATTTTATTACTTAAATTGCTAAATTGATCGCTCTTTCTTCTTCAAATTGGCAAATATTACATTTTTCTTTTATTGCTATATTGTTCTCTGTAACTTGCATAAGGTTGGCTTGTGAATTTAAAAGTTAAACTGAAATTTTACTTGAAAAACTTTGAACCTATAACATGTTGCCAACTTTAAAAAAGAGGTTAAAGATTTTAAGGATTGTTTTCCTTTTTACATTTATTTTTGTCAAATGTACTGAGACACAGTGATCAATACACGATTTGTGCAGAGATTAGGACCTTCTCTCTTTTCATGCATCTAGTATATTTTAGGGCTCTAAATCAAAATTTTGTAAGTGAACCAAGCATACCAAGACATATTCTTGTCTCAAACAGACTAAAAGAATGCAATTGTTAATTTGAATGATTATCAGGATTATCTGTAGACAGTAGTGGGAGACATTACTTTTCAGGGTGACCTCAAATAGCTATACATAATGCACTTCTACTATACATAACATTCGTTTAGAGCCAAACGATCTATTGTAGACCTGTCTAAAGTCTGGCATGAACAGGTAGAAGGGTAAAACTGTGTTCACTTATAGTTAGACATAAATAAAAACTTTATTTTTTTAAAATTTAGTATGGTTCTTTTTACTCCTCATCATCTACTTACTCTTCTTTTCCTTTAATTCCTCTTCTTCTTCTTCTGAACAAGAAGAAGAAGAAGAAGAAGAAACAGCTAGAAGAAGATATGATATAGAGAACATGCACATGGCTACATCTACAATACTAACTAGTCTACATCTGGTCCACTTTTTTAGTCTGAGCCGCCCGTCGCCGCGGTGTAGGGGGGTATAGGCCGGAGTACCCAGTTCCTATATATAGGGGCAGGGGTAGGGATCGGGGAGCGGCTATAGCTAGCTTACCCGAAAGCTACAAGTAACAAGAAGTATAACTGCAAATATTAGTTCAACGTTCAAGTTCAAGTTCAAACAATAGCGCCATTCAAAGGCGCTAACAAATCACATCAACATGCAGGCATAACGTGATATACTGACAAACAATAAGAATCGGACAGCGTTCGATCAAGGGGCACGTACAGTACTTACTTGTTAGATGATAATTGTGCGTGTCATGATAACTATAATTAGTAAGGTGAGGATGGATGCAGCTCGATCACTCATGTAAATACCCGTACCCATACTCTGCTCGAGCTCGATCTAGATGTGTATTTGTAAATTATTACAGGTTTACGTGTGAAAATCAACGTACCTCGATCTAGCCATGTGTGCAGGAGATGCAACCTAGCTCTTTACGTGCCCAGTTTAAGTACCGTAATCAGCGAGGGGCGGGTATATCTAGGAGCGCCCATTATATTCATTGGATGCATTGCATTGGTTGCCGATGGATGTACATGGCCTGCAAGGGATTGCATAACAGATAGAGCTCTCTATATAAGCCATGATAGTTATAGATGATATCATTCGACCATGAAGTTTTGATAATATAAGAATATGAACATTTATATGCCTTTCGGGAAGCCTTTAATGTTTTAATCCATTGAAGCACTATAGCTACTTCACGACTCTCAACTATTAATGCAAAAGCCAATCAGATAGTACAGTTATTGTACATTGAAATACTGAATGGCTTATATTAAACCCCTGTTACCAGGCAGCCAGAACTAAATAAAACAATTGAAATGTAGCCAGAGGCGGCCCTCCCGGGGGCAAGGGGGCACATTGCCCCCCCCCCCACTTTTTCAAGCACCCAAAAAGTGCCCCTTTTTACATAGGAATAGTGCCCCTTTTACTTTGACAAGTGCCCCTATTAAAATTTAAAAAGTGCCTCTTCCCCTTCTCAACTCTGATAAGTGCCTCTTTTATTTGGACACGTGCCCCTTTTCCTTCGACAAGTTCCCTTTTTCCTTTGCAATAAGTGTCCAATTTCCATTCTCATAAGTGCCCTTTTCAATCTCTAGTAAGTGCCCCTTTTCAGGTACGAGAAGTGCCTCTTTTCACTTTTGATTGGTGCCCCCTTCACCTCTGATAATTGCCCTATTCACATCTGAGAGGTGCCTCTTTTACTTTGACAAGTGCCCCTTTTCCTTTGTAATAAGTGCCCCTACCCCTTTTCCTTTGTAATACGTGCCCCTACCCCTTTTAATAACTACCCCCAATTTAACTCGGATAAGCGCACCTTATATTTTCACATGTGCCCCTTTTGATTTTTAATAAATGCCCCTTTTCCTAATGATGAGTGTCCCATTAAAAAAAGCCCCTTCCCCTTCTCATAAGTGCCCCTTCTCTGGTAAATGACCCTTTTCAGGTACGAAAAATTACTCATTTTCACTTCAGATAAGTGCCCTCTTAACCTCCGATAAATACCCCTTTAAAATATGATCGGTGTCCATTTTCTTTCAACCAATGCCCCTTTTCCTTTCTAATATGTGCCCATTTTCCTAATGATAAGTGCCCCATTAAAAAGAGCCCCTTCCCATTAGTACCCCTTCTCTGGTAAATGACCCTTTTCAGGTACGAGGAGATACTTCCCTTTACTTCAGATAACTGCCCCGATAACCTCCGATAAATGCCCCTTTAAAATCTGATCGGTGCCAATTTTCTTTCAACTAATGCACATTTTCCTTTCTAATAAGTGCCCCTTTTCCTAATGATAGGTGCCCCATTAAAAAGAGCCCCTTCCCATAAGTGCCCCTTCTCTGGTAAATGACCCTTTTCAGGTACGAGAAGATACTCCTTTTCACTTCAGATAACTGCCCCGATAACCTCCGATAAATGCCCCTTCAAAATCTGATCGGTGCCAATTTTCTTTCAACTAATGCACATTTTCCTTTATTATAAGTGCCCCTTTTCATATCAGGTCATTGTCCCTTTTCACGTGCGATAAGTTCCTCTTTTTACCTCTGATAGTTTCCCTTTTTAAAATGATACATGCGTAACATGCCCCTTTTCCTTTCTAATAGGGGACCTGTCCCCCCTTTTCACCTCCTATACTAATGCCCCTATCAAAATCTAATGGGGGCCCCCTTTCCGTCGAAAAATGCCCATTTCCTTTTTTCATGACTGACTTTGTTCATCCCTGGTTGAGTGCCTCTTTTTGAAGGTGTATGAAGTGCCCTATTTTCACCTCTGATAATTACTGTTTGTACTTTGGCAAATTCCCTTTTCCTCTCATCATTAAACGCACCCCAAATTTCAAGCGACTAAGAGCAATTTCTCCCAAAGCTTGCTCGCTATGCTCGCACACATCAGATCTATAGATGATATACTTATGTTACCTATCAAAGGTCTATTCAGTCTTCCGTTATGAGAATGTGCTTATAACCCCATCAGGATTGGGTATTTTCCTCTTTATAAGATGTATTTTTCGCAATGCGATCTCACAAATATTAAAAAATGTCCTTGCTTGCTTCGCTCGCTCGCAAATAAGTTAGACCATCACACCCGACTGCAAAGCATGATGCCTAAGCAATATCATGTATGGTGTATAAAGTGAAACAAATATTGAAATCATCCCTGATAATGTAATCACAATACAGGGGTATATGCCTAAGTCTAAAAGATTGTATATTCTCGCTTTGATATTTCACTTTGTAGGTGCCCTTTTTTCCCAGAAAGTGCCCCTTTTTCTTGGTCCCCCCCCCCCACTTTGTAAATCGCTCGGCCGCCCCTGAGTGTAGCCATTCTGCACCTTCTAATAACATGCGTGAAATATAGCTCATATTTGCTCACCCAGGCGGCCGATCGAGGCGGAAAGATCGTTTTTTCTTTCCTTTTTCCTGCCCCCGCCCCCCCCCCCCTTCTTTCATTTTTGAGCAATTTCGATATAGCAAGACCATCTGCTATCAAAATTTATCAAGTATCAAAGTTTCATGAACAAATTTAAAATATCATTAGGTGAGACATTTTTCAACTGCAAACTTTTTTGTGGGACGTAGTCAAATTAGCCTATTGGCATAAAATCGCTCACAACACACACAAACACAAAAACAATGTAAAACATATATTTTGTGCTGGCTCAAACAATTCGCTCGCTCGGAAATAGGCCTAACTATGTCCTATTATCATGTGTTGAATAGGCATACGCCCTGGTGCTGCGACCTGGGGGGGGGGGGGCATGGGAATACTCCCCCTCCCAGAAAATTTGAAAAAGTGCACATTTGTTAAATAGCATATTCTGAATGAAAACTGCAACCCAAATGTAGGCTCTGGAGGGCCCAAGAGTGCAGCGTTCATAGACTAATACAAATGATAGAGTCTTCTCGCTCGTCCGCTAGCCTGGGCTCCCTCGCATGGTATCCTTCAAAACGGGCAACCCTTCAGACTGCACACCTATTACCGGCAAAGTAACATTGAAGTGTGAAAACAGTTTTTATGCTATACAGTTTTGCTAACTATTTTTTTTTTTTAATACAACTAAACTTCAAAAACCGTCCCACACCTTTGCCCCTCCCCCTCCCACATTCGCATAACGGAAGACTGAAAATACCTTTGATAAGTAACATACATGTAAGTATATGATAGATGCGTGCGAGCTTTGAGGGAAATTGCTCTTAGTCGCTTGAAATTAGCTAGGGCACCTTTAATGATGAGAGGAAAAGGGGACACTTGTAGTAAAGGAAAATGTGCATTAGCTAAAAGAAAATGGGCACCGATCAGATTGTAAAGGGGCATTTATCGGAAGTGAAGGGGTCACTTATCTGACTCGGAAGTGAAAAGGAGTAACTTCTCGTACCTGAAAATCAGAGAACGGGCACTTATGAGAAGGGGGAAAGGGGTTGTTTTTTAATGGGGCACTTATCATTGGGAAAAAGGGCACACTTATTAGAAAGGAAAAAGGGCACATGTGAAATATAAGGTGCGCTTATCCGATTTAATATGGCGGTAGTTATTGAGAGAGGGAAGGGGTACTTCTTACAAAGGAAAAAGGCACCTGTCAAAGTAAAAAAGGCATGTACCTCTCAGATTTAAATAGGTCAATTATCAGACGTGAATGGGCACCTTTTTTTTTTGGGGGGGGGGCACTTACTAGATATTAAAATGGACACTTATTGCAAAGAAAAATGGGAACTTGTCGAAGGAAAAGGGGCACGTGTGCAAAATAAGGGCACTTATCAGAGTTGACAAGGGGAAGGGGCACTTTTAAAAAATTAATAGGGGCACTTGTCAAAGTAAAAGGGGCTCTATTCCTTTGTAAAAGGGGGCACTTTTTAAAAAGTTAAAGGGGCATTTTTCCTATGTAAAAAGGGGCACTGTGCCCCCCTTGCCCCCCCCCCCGGAGGGCCGCCTCTGCTTACTGAGGACGTAGGTCCCTAGGGTTCCTAGTTGAGTTAGCATAGTAGCACACACATTTTTTTAGCAGTCACGCAAAACAAACACTCACAAATCATTATTCAATAAAATCTGGAGGATGTACTTCTACTCAGGCGCGTACGCAGGATTTTTTCAAGGGGTGGGGGGGGGGGGGGGGGGTTAACATTTTTAAATCGGGCCGAAAATTTCGCATCGACTCAGCCAGCCGCTGAATAACCGGGGGGGGGGGGGGGGGTAAGAGGACACTTTTTTTTTTTTGGTTCTCGAAATTTGAAAATTTGACATTTTGCTCCGTTGGGGGGGGGGGGGGGGGGGGGGGGGGGTAAGGTCACCTTTTTTGGGTCAGCCATGGGAATAATTTTTTTTTTAAAGGAGGTAAGAGGACACTTTTTTTTTTGGGGTTCTCGAAATTTGAAAATTTGACATTTTGCTCCTATGGGGGAGGGGGGGGGGGGTAAGGTCACCTTTTTGGGGTCAGCCATGGGAATAATTTTTTTTTTTTAAAGGGGGTAAGAGGACACTTTTTTTTTTTGGTTCTCGAAATTTGAAAATTTGACATTTTGCTCCGTTGGGGAGGGGGGGGGGGGGGTAAGGTCACCTTTTTTGGGTCAGCAATGGGAATAATTTTTTTTGATTAATTTAAAAAAAAACAAAACAAACAAAACAAAGGGGGGGGGTTCGTTTTTTTTAGGGGGGTTTATACACATAAAAATACCAAAGGGGGGGGGTTAACCCCCCAACCCCCCCCCCCCTGCGTACGCGCCTGCTTCTACTTCTACGACGATTCTCAGCAGGATCCATAAGTCAGGATGTAACTTTTTTAGTTCCGAGGAATAAACTTAGGTGCTCATTTGCAATGAATGCTTGTTGGTGCATTTAATAGATTGTGCGAGTAAAAATCTAGTTGAATCTTTGATTTCGAAGAGCATATTTTTCGAGCAATCTATATAATTATCTCACGTTTTTATTCCTTTTATTTCCTTTATCTCTCCCCTCAATCACTCTTTTGTTTGCCCCCCCCCCCCCCCCGTATATCTACGCCACTGTACCTGATGAGGGCTTAATTATTGTGGATAATTTTCCCATGCCCATCAAACGTTACCACAGAGCATGCAGTCAAATTCAGCTATAAAGCTATAAATCTAGAAGGTCTTCGATGAAAGACTAAGTAATAAAAATGGCAGCCTCCAGTGTAAACACACGACGGTTCATTGGTGAGTTTTTCTTAATTGTGATATATCACCGAATAACACTTAATTAATATCCTTTGCCTTTTGGAAAATAACCACCTCAGCTAAATTCAATCAACAAAAAGTATTTAAAGTGAACCACATTCCGTATATGTAATCATATGGCTTTGCTTATTGTACTCATGTGACGTCCCAGACGTTCAGTTTTGTGTGTGTGAAACTGAAAGAAAACAAGAATACTGTCTGTGAACTGTGGCCTTCATTGTGAATTGTGCGCACATTAGCTAGATCTATGCTTTGCTGGAGTGTCATTGTGTGCTGTATTTTGCCAGCTTCAGTTTAACTAAGTTTTATTATCTCAAATTCTATATTATGAAAGTAAAAGACCAAAGGAGTAAAGCCTAAACTGCGTAAATGTATTTCAAAATCTTTAATTTTGTTGCATTTTCTTCCTTTCAATTGTTTGTTTTGTTTGAATTAATCTATTAATTTTTGTTTAACTTTTATTTCTATTGTTCATTTGTTGTTCATATTTGTAATTTTTTCTTCACAAAGTTGAGCCTAGACTAGAGGCAGTCTATCTCGAAAGCTTTTGCATTTCTTTTTGTTTTCGTTGTTTTCTCTTTCTGTCTTTTCTTACTTTGGTTGTTTCCTAAAAGTACTAAAGGCTGAAGTAGGCCTATTCATTACTGGTAATAAGTAATTTACTTCATTCATCTTCATTTTTTCTTCTCATTTCTCCATCATATTTTGAATTTGATTTTTTCCCCCTTTTTTAAAGAGGGAGGAGGGGAGGCCATGGGCGTAAACACTAATGTTTTAAGAATAATGTGAGATGCATTTATCAGCAGTTTTATCTCTGCAAATTGTGTTCGATGTACACTGTATCAATATTTAAAACTGGCTTAAGTTATGAGAGGAATACACAAAACAATAAATCAATGCTTTATGTTTTGTGTTATTTTACAGATATTGGTATTAATCTAACTGGTAAGTTTATAAATTTCTTTTTACTTTTTTTGTTTTTGTTTGTTTTTGTTGGTTTGGTTGTTAACTTGTAAAGAAAGGTATTTTTTGAAAACTTAAATTAATTATTTATAAACAGAAAGGTTTGAGCCCTGGCAGGCCGGGAACTTATGCCCTTTGTAAGACATCTGTCTACATTAAAGGCTAAGTTCAAGTGCTCCAAACATAATTTGCTTTTAATAGATGCAGATAAAACAAGAGAAACAGAGCAAAACAAATTTGAGTACAATCAGTTAACTAATAAGGAAAACTTAAAAAATCACTACACAAATTGCCAATTTGGTTTGGTTATGCAGGAGGCTAGTATTCCTATAAATTGGGGGTATCAAATTTTACCAGTGTATTTCAAAAGGATGATTCAATATCTATACTTCCCATATTTTTATTACTAATCTTAACCACTTAAAAATATCTTTTGTACGTAGTTGATTCAACGTTTTGAAATAATATGTATAGCAATAATAACAAAATCATTTATAAACCACTCAGAAAAATTAACATAAAAGTAGGAAAAATTAGCAATGATACTGATGATGATGACAGGACGATGAAAAGACTGGTAGATATTCATGCAGGTATACAGTATAGGGCCTACAAAAAAAAGATGTTGATTGCCCTTTAAAAAGCCGATCGTTGATTTCAAGTTTGTTGGGTCGGTCACAAATGGCAATGCAACATCTTTTTTTTTAGGCATTGTTGCAGAGCTGCCAACCAGTACGATTTTCTCGTATTTTGTATGATTTTCTCGTATTTTGTATGATTTTTAGAAGTAAATACATCAATACAATTTTCAACCCCAAAAAATAAAACTTGTGTGTGTGTGTGCCCAACACATTCTCATAGCCCATTCTCTCTTGTAAAGTATCCTACAAGTATCTCACATCGGCAATTTGGGAATGTTCATCGGTTCATCGAACATATCAGTCATGACGAAATCATGCTTATTCAACCATTCGTCCATTAAAAAATTTCTTCCTGTATGTAGGAACTTATGCAAATTAGAACTCCCCCCCCCCCCCCCCCCCCCCCTCCCCCCCCCCCCCCCCCCCCCCCCCCCTCCGGAAAGAAAAAAACAACACGGGGCCGTTTCTCGAAACCGTCATAACTACAAGATCAACGATATCTCGCCACTGTCACGCAACTTGTCAGCTAAGTGTTTCACGAAGCCGTCTTTGCCAAGATGAGCGACAACTTCCGCGACAAGCGAGTTGTCACTGCTCCGAACCTGTCATATCTTTTTAATTGCTGTAAAGCGCCATCACAAGTCAGTTTGTTGCCATTCCATGGGCCGCGAAATGGACGATTAGTTTCACTATCATTTTGAGAAAAATATAGACGAGTTCGGTACGTAATTCTTTGGGATGCGAAATGCAAATGTACAAAAGTGAGAATACAAATTATACAGAAACTTTAAAAAGCTAAATATAAACATTAAATCACAAATCATTAACTATAATGAGAAGTAAGAATATTACACACCGTTTTTCATAGTCGATCCATAGTCTTTTAATAGGATACCTTCATACCTTTGGGGCCTATGTGCATTATTGTTCCCTCTCTAATTACTTCTTCCAAATTATATTTTCAATATCAAATCAATTATATAACGAGTATTTATGAGACTCTAGAGTAAAAACTGGCTGAGAAAATACATTTTGCCTAAAATTCCTCGTCACAATAAACAAAAAAGTACGTATTGATAAACTATCACATTACGGTATCCTTCAACTAACTTTTGATTCGACTGTCGAAAAAAAAACACTCACCGGTTTTTCTTTAATTTAAGAATCTTTACGGAAATATGCAAATCGTTTGATGATGTAAATATGATAATGACACTATTTATTATTTATTTTAGGAGAATTTATATGTATATATTTCTTTTTGAACAATTTTAGCCCCAAAACTTGTTTTGGGTTATTCTTGATAAATCAAGTGGATCGTGACAAAGACTATGTTCTTGAGCTGCTAGTATCGCGATATATCGATATCATGTCTGTCATGGCTTTGTGAAACGGTTTATCCGCTTCATGACATCTCCGTAGGTCGCCGACAAAGATATGACTGTCATGGAGTTGGTTTCGAGAAACAGCCGCCACATTTCTGCAGTGAGATGGTACTTATCAATCAAAAATAGGATTTTTGTTCAGTTGAGGTTGGCAGCTCTGTAATTGCATTGTAAAACTAAGATTCAACCTTGTTTTTGATAATGATGGCAGGAGGGAATGTTACAAATTTATCTTTTTGATTCCAGATGGCATGTTCAGAGGTCTATACCATAGATCACAGAAACACCAAGGTATGTACAATGTACCCTCATAATGTTTTCCTTTATGATTTTAAGATTCTACAAATTAAGAGTTATAGAAATTCCTCCCCAAAATAAAAAGAAAAAAATAGTTTTATGTAAAAATCAGACATTCGTATTATTAATGATGGTTTGTAAAGACTACTAAAGTGCACCTAAAGTTACTTTTCAAACTGAATGCAAATAGTTTGATAAAGTAAGGAGGAGTATTGATGATCCACAGCACTTGTATGACGCCAGTTTAATATCTGTATCAAACATTCAAAGGTGCCCGCTCCCATGTGACCGACATTGCAAATATTTAATCTTTTCCGCCCCAAATTTGTAAATTTGTACTGTAGCTTCCCTCACTATTCTTTATGTATTTAAAAAAAACGTCACCAAACATGAACAATACTCGATATTTTTAAAACTTGTCCAAATATACTTTGGAAAGCCATTCATATACATGTGTTCCTGTCCAAATATTAGAGAGATTGAGACGAGACAGGTTGGTACAATGCCATTTGCAAACATGCCTTTAATATATTTAGGCTATATAAACAGAGAACTATATTGTATTACTTTTTCCCTGATTTTATATGGTGTGGGAAGCTGCTTTAGCATTTCTCATTTAAACAACCATCAGGTGCAGAGAATTATAGAAAAGGGTCACTGTACATGCAAGCCAATATGTTTGCAAATAAACTTTTCTTTGGGTTAATGTATTCGCGATAATTTGCAACGGCTACTGAAAATACAAATTTGTATTGCCTGCTCATTATCAGGTGTTGATGTACTTGTGACCCTACAACAAATCCCAAAGTTCATGAAATTCACATGAACAAAACCTTTTATTAATTAACATCATGTAAAGTTGAGTTTGTAGTGCCATATGATTTGTCCATCAACAATTAAAACAAAATATTACAACATAGAAATAGTCATGTTAAATCAGAATGTTTTGTTTCCTTCTTGCAGATGATTTCCAAGATGTTCTGCAGAGAGCTTTCAAAGTCGGCATGAAGAAGGTATGTTTTTTTGTAATGGCTGTAGAGTTTTAATATGTTATATAACGTTTGCCAAAGAGTTCATGTGCATTTATTAAGAATGAGAGTTATCTTTTCATCGGGTGACACCCCCCTCCCCTCTTTTATTATTATCATTTTATTTTTAAGAGAATGTAGAGAGTTGGGGGATGATCCAAAATTTGTAACAACAAAAAATGAAATCACATTCCTGCAGCACACATGTATAACAGACTTCTCCCCCAAGGATTACAGGGTGGTACATTTTCCCTTTATCCTCCCCTCCACCTGCCAATAATAAAAATAATAATAATAATATGTTCATTATAAAGCACTCTCGCACCATTGGTCTCACAGCTCTTTACAAGGTATGAAAGTGGGAAAATCAGTTAAATAAATATGTCTGTACATTTGTCACTCTAGTCTGAGGTGTTATTAGTAGGAAAAAAACAAAGATTAAATGTGAATATTTAAAAAATAGCCCCTGCTCCCCATGAAACATTTTATATTTTTGTGTTGTTGTTGTCTCTTTTTAGATGATGATAACAGGCGGATCACTGAAAGACAGTAAGGAGGCACTGGAATTGGCCCAAACCAATGGTAATGACAAGGTCTATGAATGATATAAATGTATATTCTACTCCCTTTGCTGTGCTCAACCTGCATATCGTACCGAGACCCGTAATATATGAGAGGGACATACATTGTATCCTAACTCTGAACCCCCCCCCTCCCCCCCCCCCCCCCCCCCCCCCCCCCCCTCCTTAATGTCACACTTTTAACAGGGGGCAAAAAGAGACACATCCTTAAAAATTAAATCTACTTCACATTTTAAAACATAATGTGGGGCCCTGAAATCTTAATTTTTTTTTTTTTTTGTAAAGGTAGATACATGAACCAGTTCTAGTTGTTATCTTTACTAGAGCTTCATTTACCCCCTTCAAAATAGAATAAATTTGTGTAATTCAGTGACAGCCTGAATGATGTGTAATTAATGTATATATAAAGCCAAAACCAAATAAATACCAAAACTTTGTATTACCTTTAATCAGCCATCCGCAAAAACCTCATCCGGGTAGGTTACCATAACAACCGCACCTCCTCCATCGCCATCAGCTGGCGCGCGCTGTGTACATGTATACACTTTTTCACGGCGATGACGTCATTTACCCCTGTAAATATCACCCTGGCTCGACTAGGGTGAGATTTACCTCGATATTGTCCGGACGTTACCCCGATTGACGTGTCTTAATTGGAAGGGGAATCCCAGTGAAAATAGATGTTGTAATGGATATGAAATATCTAGTTGGTCAAGGTTTTCCTTGTTCTTTACAAAAAAAAGATGAAGTAAAAATATAAATTTAATAACACTTAACTCTAGACATATTATGGGTCACAGTTGTATTCATAATTTTGTTTATAAAAAAGTAATATGATGTACAGAAACACATAAACCAATGACTGAATTTTCTCTTTCTTCTCAGATGCACTATACAGCACAGTTGGCTGTCACCCGACCAGATGTACAGAGTTTGACAAACACGCTCATGGCCCTGAGAAATACCTCAACGACCTTCTGGAACTGATACAGAACAACAGGCAGAAGGTTGTAGCATTAGGAGAATGTGGCTTAGGTAAGGTAGTGTTGTGGCACAAGAGAAGAGGCGTCCGGAAAGCAAAATGCATAATTGTTGAAAATTGTAATTTTAACACTCTGAGGTTGAACCATATGAGGATTAATATTACCTAAAACTTACATTTACATATGTCAAGAAAGAAGTTCTGATTATTAAACAATTATCCCAGCTCCATTATGGTATGCCTTTTGAGTTTCAGATGCATCTTGTTGTATAAGCTCTTAAAATATACTTGTACCATGTATGTGCAATGGTGAACCAAGATTTCACTCTGGCACCAAGTAATTTTTCTTTTTCTTTATTTTATCAAATATTTAGAGTGATGCTCAGGGTTTCGCTTGGATTTTTGTTTGAGTTTTGGATTTGGGTTAAGGTTTGGTATTGCGTTGGATCTGGGGTTGAAGTTAGCTGGCACTTCTCATGTGTATTAGGAATTAAACACAGAGCAATTGTCAATGGAGCATGTGTCGATGAAGATTTGATGAAGAAAAAACACACCAAATAAACAAAGAAGAATCATGTACTTTACTGTTGAAAAATGTACCAACTCTCTCTTTTTTTGTAACTACTTGCTTAACTCTTTCAGGATTGTTCATTTTGTAATTATTAAATTGTATATTACTTTTTGTGTCATCTTTAATTGCTCCCCCCCCCCCCCTATTGTGGGCTACACTATACAAATTAGATCTTTCTCTCTCTCTCTCTCTCTCTCTCTCTCTATCTTTCTATTTCTCTCTCTCTCATACATGCTTTTCAATATATTATTTTCAAATACTTTTATATTTTTTTTCAGATTATGATAGGCTTCACTTTTGCCCTAAGGCCACTCAACTGAAGTAAGCTACTTTATCAACTTTTTTGTTTGGTTTGGTTTGTAGTTTGTTTGTTTGTTGTTGTTGTTTTGTTTTTTTGTTGGGGGGGGGGGGGGAGGGGTGGTGGGGGAGGGGGGGGGGGGTGAGTATGTGTTTGCTTGTCATTCGTTTAACTTTTTAGCACAAAACAAACTCAAACCACTTCATAGTATTGCTACAGGGAGGCTGCATGTTTTGTATAGTTTTTCTTTCTTTATCAAAAATTCAATCAGCATAATATCCAGTATTAAAAACACCTGCATTTAACCTTCTGAAATCTGTTTTTACGTTTCTTTGTATCTGTAGGTATTTTGAGAAACAGATGGTTCTAGCAGAGGAAACCAATCTTCCTTTATTCCTCCACTGTAGAGCGTCACACCAAGACTTTGTAGGTTAGTAGCACCATTATTTTAATAACCTTGTATCAGTACACCAGACAAGAATGCCAGGCTTACATTCAAGCAAAGACCCAACTCTGCTCTTGGTTGCGTGTGGGAGACAAACCCTTCTCTTCTTCTGCATCATGCTTTTGAAACGATCTACCTCAGTGCTTTTGGGCTTCACCATCTCCTTCTGTTTTCATAAAGTCTTTTAAGACCTTTCTTTTCAACCATAAAATCAATCATTGCATGTTCTTGTTTAGTATTCTATATAGCCACCAATGCCTTTGGTACAGTCACTGTTTTAAGCATTTGAAATTGTCGCGTTTGATTGGCTGTGAGCAAATTTGATATGGCAATGTGACAGTCGTTATTGCTTATAAGTTGTTATTTTTTCTTTAATCAGGGGCCTGGGATTTTAGAGATCTAATTTTATACTCATATGATTTCTATGGAACATGAAACGTCTCATTGTTTTTGTTTCAGATATTGTGAAAAGGAATAGGGAAAAAATAAAAGGAGGTGTGGTGAGTATCAACAACTTACATTCATTAATGATAATGATTATTAAAATGAAAAATATTATTAAAGGTAATACAAAGTTTTGGGAAATTTTGAAAATTGGCTGGATAAAGATCTTTACCATTTTGAAATATTTGGATGCCCCTGTGGAGCTATACTATGAAAAGAGTTTATTATTTACAATTTCATTACGGTACTTTAGACTCGATTTCAACCACGACAACGATCACTGAATATTGTAGGATTGCATATGTTTCCAATATGTTGAACCAAATTCATGACCCCATACCAAAACTTTGTAATACCTTTAACAAAATGCTGTCATTTTTACAAGTCCAAACACCAAAAAGTACTTTGCTCTGTATATTGGGGGTTCCATGTTGCTTTACTATATTAAATTTATGAACTTCAAACATTGAACTATAAGGAAATATTGCAAGTTTAAATACACTTTCTACTATCATCAAAATAACTTGAGTGTTTAGTAGAATAGTTGATGCACATGTACTTGTTTTAAATAAGGCATGCGCAGAACCCAAGTCTGACTTGGGTTACATGTACTTTTGCACTTTTTGTTAGTTTGATGTTATACATTCAAACTACACATTTTTGAAAGAAGATTATAGTTTGTAATGTACAGTATATGCAAGATATAGTTCAATCCATACCTCGATCTGTATACCAAGATGTAACTACCAATAATTTTGAATCATTATGCATTTTGAATTCTAGTTATGTATTGTTAGGTTTAAGCTGTGTGTTAAAGATAACAGACAATCTTTATTTTTAGCTCAGATGGGTAATTGATCTTATAAATAGACAAAGAAAAACTCAAAATGCAGAACCTAACATTTGAAAAAATCAGCAATTTCCTAGAGTCTTCATTTTCTTGCCCCAAACAGTTTCTGAAAAGAGCTTTTTGCTTGTCATAGTTAACTAATGAGAAGAGCAGACTGAGAGCAGTAAATGTATGATTGTCATATAAATAACCAATGTTTGTTTATTGTTTATTGTTTTGTAACAATAGGTGCATTCATTTACTGGATCCAAAGCAGAAGTAGCAGAATTTTTAGACCTGGATTTCTATATTGGCATCAATGGATGGTAAGTTTGTCTTTGATTCTTTGGATTGTCGTGTTGAAGATAATCCACCATCTGTTTTACATTTGGAAGAAAATGTGTTTAAAAAATCAATTGATAACAGTTTATTTTATACTTCTGGCTTTTTTACTGTACTTCATGTAGATTTGTTTTTGTACATCGCTTGGATGCCACAATGCATACCAAAATGGTACTTAAAAGGCAAAAATGGTCACGCAAAGCTATTGAATTTGGTTCTCAACTTTCTGTGGGAACCATGGATCAAATACATGTACATGTAAAATTTAGTTTTATCTATTATGGTGCATATCTTGCATTTGTCAATTTAAGGGTAAGGCATGTGAATCAGCTGTTTTTTTTAAAAAACCATACGATTTAAGTAATTCAGTAGTCTCTGGGTTTAAAACACTACAAAACAGGCCATGTCCATGAAAACAATTACTTTTTCATGTTCTAGCTATTCTGTCTAACAATTATTTTTTTCATGTTCAATTTTGTCTAAAGTTCCCTGAAGACGGCAGAGAACATTGAAGCCATGTGTACGATACCAAAGGACAGGCTGATGATCGAAACAGGTATGTGTTTGTAGAAAAAGCGCTAGAAGTTTTGTAACAATGAGGACATACTTGGGATAAAATGGGCTACAGGGTTCCATTATGCTGCAGTCATCTCCCAATATTGATAAAGTTCCTACCTTAACAGTTTGACGTACACTTTACCTAATCATAAGTCTGTATCATTAACACAGTGATGCCCGTAGAAAATGTTTATCACTGAGTAAAAGTAGTTATCGTAGAAAGTATATTATTAAAGTAAATGTGTGATTTCCCTTCAAATTTTGGCCTGGCAGGTTACTACAACATGTCAGATGACCTCTACAAAATGGTAAGATTTTTGCAAACTCAGTCTCAAAAGGTAATTGCAAGGTGTTTTGCAAGCTGCAGTGTTTATGTGGCAGTTAGTTGACAGATTTGTTACAGTAAGCAAAGGGTACACCTTAACCTGATCCAAACCCCAACCATAACCTATTAAAAACCCAATTGCAATTCTATCGCCCATGGAAATACATTTTGTAGTAATCTTCCAAAAGCAAATGTTTGAGCATTCTTCATATTACAAGCAATGATGAAAGTTCTTCTTACTATATTATGTATATCGCGATCTGTTGCTTCATTTACCACACAATACAGACGGACCATGGTGCGAGGTGAAACCAACCCATGCAGGCTTCAAGCATGTCCAAACCAAGTTCCCTACCAAGAAGAAAGAGAGATGGGAGGAAGGTCATTGCGTGAAGGGACGCAACGAACCATGCCACATCACGTAAGTTCCGACAATAGATTGCAGTTTTTAATACAGTCAAACCTGTCTACAGCGACTACAGCGACCAAGGGAAACACTAAAAGTGATCTTTGTAGACAGGTTCCTTTAGTACATGTTTCAATGAGAAACCATTTTAAAGGGAAACAAAAAATGTACTTGTTGTAGACAGGTGGTCACTAAAGCAGGTTTGACTGTATTATGTAAAGAAATTGTTGGCGTCCACCCAGTAAATAAAGATTGAGTGCTCGATCTTGTAATTAAAGATGAGTTCTGGTAAAAAAAGAAAATGAATTTTCACAGAATCAAATGAAACTAAATACACTGAATGTTCAAGATTACAAATAAATGCCATGTGCCATTTAGGAAGAAAATGTATACTGGCTGAGTAATAAGCATAGAAAGATAAGGAAATCAAGGTAAGCTAGCCCGACACCATGTGTGTGGACCCATATACATCTTTCTGTGTACAGTGCTTGTTACTTTACCAAGACTGGGCCAAATTTATTATGATTTTGATGACTCCAGAACCTTGCAGGGTACACCGATACTTACATGCTACATGATCAACTTTTTCTGATCCATTCCACACCTTTTCTTTCACAATGCAATTCGCATTTACCTTTATCTTTAAAAACAAGACAGAAGAAGTTTTGAAGCCATTATAATTGTTATTATTGACTGAAGTCCTATTTGAGATTAGCACAGATGTAGTGAATTCATATGTCAAACATTCATAACTTTTCTTATTATTAGTCCGATTTATTTCAAACTTTCGCCACTTCGTTTCTCTTATTTTTTCTGCTTTCATATAAATGAACACATTACAAAGGTTTGATTTCCCTTTGATAATCATGTCCTTATTATTTCCATTGTTCGATATTTCAGTCAAGTGTTGGAGGTGATGGCAGCAACAAGGGGAGAGGATATCGATGAGCTGGCCGAGATCATGTATGAGAACACAGAGAAGATCTTCTTCAATAGATGATAATGGCCCCCGTTTAGCATCACTCCATTATCTGTGCCCTACGTCTTTTACTGAACTCTTTGTACATAAATTATTCTTAGTTAAATTAACAGATAGAATGATAGATGATAGATAGAATGTTTCTTGTTTAGCTCGTATCATGTCTTGTACATCTCATTACGATTCCAAGTGATTTAGACATTACAGATCAAGTTGAGTTCTGGCCGCGTCTTATAAAGACTTGATATAAATTATTAATCACAACTTTATTTGAGATTGATATCAATCGCAACTATGTACATAAGAGATAGGAGACTGCAAATTTGCGATTGATTAGAGGACTTGCCATTACTCTTTATAAGACAGGGCTCTGGTCATGCAATTTCATTATGAATAGAAACTGTTTGTAAAGCGATTGGAAAAGGTTGATCATGTAGCACATAAATAGTGACGTATATATACTGCCAGGCTGTGGGATAATTAAAATGATAGGAAAATGACCCAGTCTTGTTAAAACTCAAGTGCACTGTACCAAATGGGACTACCGGTACGCACAAATGCGGCATGAAAGTGTGGTCCACAACACCATTTGTTTCTCGTGATGTTTTGAATATGACGGCATTTAAAGAGCAGTATTTTTCACGATACACCCAAATTGAGTGGCAAATGTAGAATTGTGTCTTTCCAAAGGACATTTTTTGGGAGAAGGGGAGATACGGAATATTGTCTAATCGATGTGAATTACAGCCTAAATTTAATTTAGAGAAATTAAGTACATTATATGTTAGTTGTTCTCTGTAGGTTTTCATGGTGAGCGAGTATTCATGATGGAAGACTTTGGGACCAGCAGAATATACAGGTATTCAGAGAGCTGAATGTAGAAGTGTCAGCCGCCATTCCTTGGGGCCATCAAGAATGTTAGACAATAGGTAAACATTCCCTCTTTAGTTCAGGGATGGCCATGTACCTGTCTGATTGCATAAGGAATTAAGTTTTGGAATTCTTTAATGAAATAAAAAAATGCTCCATCGATTATTACTTTCAAGAACAAATTGAAATTGTTTTTATAACAATCATTGAGTATAATTTGTTGTTTTTGTTGAATACAAGATCATTCTCTGCTCGCTGGCTCAAAATATAATTTTACATATTATATTGTGCCTTCTCATGCTTATCTCCTTTCTAATGCGCATTTCTCTTTTCTCATCTTCTTCTCAACCCCACATGCAGCTCATTATTTTCTGTACCCCCGATCTCTCGCTTCTTTTCTGGCATTGTGTGCTCTTTGTATTATGACTATGTTCTTATATCTGGTAGATGCCGCATGAAAACAAACACAAAAACTCAGCGAGTGACACGTTGAAGTAATAGGAATAAATGCTTTTCAGAAAATAAAGTTTGTTTTATTTCTTTTATGCGAATTGTCCACCTTGCGATACATACATTCATTCATTATTAATGCAATGTTACACTTTGCCAAGAAACACATGTCCACTCATCAGTCATAGCATCTGATGAAAGTGTGATAATAATCAGGAATGCCTGAGTAAATTCCTTTGCAAAGGTTTTGTTCAATACCGGCCCAACTAGAAATAAGATACATACAAGCATTGTAAAATACACTTGATACACAGTCAACAACTAAACTATACATACCCTGACCCAGTTTTTTAATTTTTTAAAGTATAGGAAAAATGGATTTGTCCCAATTGATGTTTTTTGAGATTGTGACATATTACAGGTTACATTAAAAAACTCAAACCAGTCCTACAAGGGATATTCAACCATTTTGGACTTTAAAAGTCATAATATATGCACATACCTTAATAACAAACTACACACTTTGATACTAGGTTCCATTTACATGTATACCGTTTTGCATTGAGGGATTGTAGCATTGCATTCATCACATACAGACATGTGCACAGAACGTTTATGAGTTGTCTGAAACCATTCAGGGCATCGTACAATATTTTATATGACAAAATGTAATTTGATGCATGAATTGCAATTTACATTTTGTGCAGGTTATATACATACATGTACTTTTGGTTTTTACATAAGTTTATCAATCAGATATGACTATTTACGTCTGTTTCTTTCAGCTTTTCCTCTTCCAAGCAAATAAAATAAGTTAGTTTCCTGGTACTATCATCCATGAAGGATCACATCAAGTAAGAAGGCACTGAGCAATCCTAAAACTAACAAAACTTGCAGAGACATAGAGTTAACAACTACATTATCCATACCCATTGTCAGAGCTGCCAACCTTATGCGACCAAAAAAAGGAATCATGATGGCAAAAAAAAAGGAATTTCAAGCCAAAAAAAGGAATTCATAGAAATGAAAGTTACAACCACGCGCGACACACTTCCAATGCAGAAATGTTCATTCATCATGCTGTTTTTTCCATACAAGGAGGAATTTTTTTGGTGGTTATTTTGGTATTATCGGCATTTCATTCTTTTTGAGAATATTTTTCTTTTCAAGTATGTTTTAAATTTAGTTTTCTATTTAAATTGTTATCAAATCACCATTTTAGGGCAGTTGTTTGACGTGTGGTATGTAAAATTAAAAAAAAAAAAAAAATTAAAAAAAAAAAAAAATTAAAAAAAAATTAAAAAAAATTAAAAAACGTATTTTATGAAGAAAAAACGTAATGCCGTAATTTGGAGGGAAAAACGGAGTAATTCCGGCAAAAACGGAATGGTTGGCAGCTCTGCATTGTACATTTCATGTTTTTCGTAACTCGAGGATGAAAAGCAGGCCGTTTAAATTAGGGCCTTTGTTGAATGCTTTTAGATGAAAGCTATAATATTTCACATTCTCAAGAAACATAAATTGTGCAAAATCAATTTTTCACATACATGTACTTACACAATTACAAAACTGTAATGAGAGGAAGAAAGAGGAAGAAATAGGAAAATGGGTTGGTGGGAGTGAGATGAAGGAAAATGAGATTTAAAAAATAGAACCCTGAATGCTACATTGGTCCTTCCATCATTGCATTCCTGATCCAGTCCCCCTTCGAGAACTACATACTCAAACTGGAAGATGGTATAAAGACACTGCATAATACAATTTAGAGTGGAATTGTTATAACAAGAGATGAAAAGAAATAACATCTTAAATTAACTTTACCTTCTTAAGATTATATTTATGAATGGCTAATGAAATAAATTCTGAAGATTGCAAATTTTGTTTCTTAAACCCAAACATAAATTTTCTTATCTTAAATACTAATTCTAGTAATAAATTCAAACAAACTGCCCATACATAAATATATGTTTATACTATACTTTGGTCTTTACACACATGTACTCTTAACTTATCATAATAGCAAAACATTAGAGTGATGCCATACAGGCTAGCTGTGAGGCCATCGTAATAATGTGTCTGCTTCTTATCACAAAAACATCTTAAAGATGAAAACAAAAAACGGAATTCAACTAAGCTAGTAACAAGATAAACTTTTCCATAATTAAAACATTGAAGAATGTATAAGACAAAGAGGGAAAAAAAGTTAATTATCCATATATAGTGTTTCATGTACTTCAACTGAATTTGTTACAAGCATTTTTGGACAAACTCGCTCTTGAATCACACATTGTACATGGCATCAATTTCAAAATGGCAAGCAGTGAAGCACCTCAACAGCCTGCATCTTGTTACTTTGCACACAATAAGTTACATGTCCAGTTAACAACTAAATTATTCATACCCCTTGTGAATTTGATGTTTTTTGTGGTTTTTCTGTTACTCAAGAATGAAAGGTGGACTGGTTGAATTAGGGCCTTTGTTGAATACTTATAGATGTATCAAAACTATACGTCACATTCTCAAGAAACATAAATAGGGACAAATCAATTTTCACATACTTAATTAATAAAAGAATTACAAAACTTGGTAAGGGCATGATTAATTTAGTTGCTAACTGTATGTATATAGTCCTCTCACTTATATATTACTGTTTGAAAATACAAGTGCCAATGCGAAGATGGACGAATTCTAGATCATAATACACTCAATCGTAACAGTAATAATGAGAAATCATATATTTTATGAATTTAAACAGTGATCTTCGAGGTAAATTACTTTCTATTTTTAATTTAAATTATTCAATTCTTAATTTGCTCGGTATATCCAGATGAAACTCGATGATTGAATTGCTGTTTCATCCGGAAGCCTGGGTCTACGTCTTGCTGCAAGTATAAAATAATAGAAAGATAAAAAAATATTATACAAAAACCAGATTGAATATTGTACTGTGCATTGAAAATGCATTCATGAAAATATAAATTACAATCCTCTATGAATTCAACCAAATATTGTAAGCCAGCTTGAGTTATATTCAAATCAAAATAATGCACACATGTTATAATGTGTGAAGTTGCTTGTGAGCTACTTACATGTATATACAGGATTACAGGTACACTGACATTATGGGACCCATTGCCAGGCTTTCAAAATGATTTGATGAAGTCTGCTACATTTACATGGAGCTAGCTATCTCAAAACATTCAGTAAAATAGCCAAACAATGCAACTGAGGAGCTAATGAGAGATAAATATTTCATTCAAACCCAAATCAAGTAAAATTGATTTGATTTGATTTGATATGATTTATTATTAAAAACATTCAAAATAGCATCCATAATAAGGCAGAAACAAATTTAATTTACAACTGGTAATAATCTGGAGCGCCAGAGTGTCAAGTCTGACACACATGAGCGCTATACAAGAACCCAATGTTATTATTATTAATATTATATATGTCCATTCGAATACAACACATTATCTAGGCTAAAACATGCGACTGTGCAACGATTTCTGACTTGACTTGACCCGGACACCAGCTAAGAAAGTAGTACTCTCTCTCTCTCTCTCTCACCTGAATGTCGTTTTTAGCATGTCCCACGCCTGGTCCAGGACTGGGTACACAGCATTCCAGACCAGGGCCACGTAGACCACAGTCAGGTCCCAGGCTTGCTGCAGGTACGGTGCTACGACGATCCAGCCGGCGATGGCGTACTCGGACACGACCTCCCACAACTGGGTGAGCCAGACCATCAGACGCTGTAGGATCTCGACAGTCTGTGCCAGGATCTGAGAGAAAAATGAGTTTAAAAAGTAACATTCCATAATCAGGGGTGTTAGTGAGCACTAAAAAGAAAGAACTTTTTTTTTTGCTCGACCAAAAAAAAAGGCTATCGGGGTGGGGGGTGGCATCTAACAACATTACCCCCTTTTGATTAAGAAAATTGGGGAAAAATCGAGAAAATCAGAAAGAAAAAAAAACAAACGGGAAACCGCTTTAAATCAGGTAATTATCAGGCCTGCATAAAGGAACAATTTTTTTGTTTGTTTAATTAAATAGAAATTATGAATTGTTGGTCCTAATTGAGTCAACCATACCATCAAATGGTACAGAATCATGACAGTCTGCTTGATACTACAAGACGGTCTAGTTTATAAGTAATGTACACTATCAGCACATATATTGTGAGTTTTTAGACATAGGGGGGGGGGGGGGGGGGAGCTGAAGATTCTGGAAGAGGATGGGGGCATATGAACTAACAGAACTTGTGACAAACTGACCATATTTTCATAAATTGCTTTACCAAGAAAACCTCACATGATGATAAATTGGCAATGATATTGGGCATTCTACAAATCCCAGATAACTTGTTTAATATGGTCACACGCAGTTGTGCTCTCTGTTTAAAAACATGCTTACAAATGATAAATGATGATGGTTGATGATGATGATTAATGCATTAATCAATTAATGAACTTACCCAATCCAACCAGATGGGGGCATTCACTGCGATCCAATCCTTGAGAGGGGTCGTCACGGTAACAAACCACGCCCACAGGTCGTACAGCTTCTCCAGCGCTAGGGCGAGGTAAGGTCCACAAAGTTCACTGACCTTGGCATAGTAGATCGGTGCGTTCACCTGCAGCCATCTAATGGAGACAAATAAAGAAGGAGAAAAAAAGATTGTCGGTTACTGTGAAAATCAGGAATAAATACAAAGGAGGAAGATTGCAGGATATTGAATTTTCTCTTCTTTTTTTTTTACTTTACCTCTAAGAAGCACAGAGTTGTTCATCAATGGCTCTTATTATAGGTATCCAGCTTTTTTTAATTCTTGATTTTTACATTTGTAGTTGTAGTAGAACATTTCTTGTATAGTGTGCATTGTGATTAGGAACATTGTGTAAAATGCATACTACTACTGCTTAGCAAAAAGAGGAAATAAGGAGAAAAACAAATATGTGGTCCATATTTAACAGGACCATGTTGAAAAACAGTATACATGTACCTGAAGATATTATCCTGTATAAAGATGTTTTAATAAATAAATAAACAAATAAATATTTGTTAGAAAATTCTGAAAATTTAAAGCTGACTTCATGGCCTTTCGGATGCTCAATCACTTATTTGAAATCCAAATCAGATGCTGGCAAACGTTTGACAAAATATGTATTACATAGGAACCACATCTGATTACATAGATGTTAAGCATGTTGAATGCATTTACACGTATCTGTGGTCAAATCATGGAGAAAAGAAAAGAAAAAACGAGAGGACAATGCCAAGTTCACTTACCCCATGATGTTGGTAGTAAAGAGGGAGATTTTGGTCCAAGCCTGTTTGGAAATAGCAAGGAGACCTGATTTCTGAAGGAATACCTCTGTCCTGGAACCTGAAAATAGAGAAAAGAATAAGCATGAGACATGACCTTACCCATTCCTCTTTATTTTCTAATCTTTGTTTAATTGAGAACAGAAACATTGATTGATTGATACCTATGGGGAGTGATAATTATAATAATGATGATAGGTGTTTTTTATTGCGCCATCTATCTAGAACTTATATTCCGAAACCCACAAGGAATAATAGAAAGAAAAGTAAGTGTCATATTGTCAAGTCGAGCATTGCTAGAAGAGGATCAGATTTCACATTTTTCTACAGACAGGTTTGTACAGCCGCTGTGGTTTAAAATAGACAGTAGTTGGTTTGATCCAAACTCTACATGCACTTCATACAAATAAAAATATATACCAAAATGTTAGATACTAAATGTAAAATGTGGTTAGTAACATTTGGGACAATGTGAAATTTAGCTTGCCCAACAAGACATGGAAGCGAGTAGATGGGACTGAGGTTATACCTTGGAAGCCATGGCTGGTATAGAAGTCCATGGCCAAGAAAGTCATGATAGCAAGAAAGACGACAGAGATCAACGTCTTCCATGGCATCCTGAAACTGCTCATCTTCTCCAGTAATTCCTGCAATATGACAAATATATACACATGGATTTATATTAACATGGTCTTGTTTAAGCAGGTCTGGAATGCACATGAGTAATTGTTGAAAATTATGATTTTATCACAGAGGTAGAACCACATTGTTAATAAATTGAGATGTTAAAAGCACCTTACATTCAGATTTATGTTTAAAAAAAAAAATTCCAACTAACAAATATCATTAAAGGAGTTATGCTTTTCGTGGCACAACATTTTTCTATCAAACAGGTAGCTAGATAAGGATTAAAACTGCTCCTCCTCTAGGTCTTGCCATTACAAGTATTGTTATGCTGGCGCTGAAGGTAGATCTACAAAATAAATACACCAGCCTAGGAGTGGGAAATCTTTGTAAAATAGCTTGTCCTAAATTCTCATCCCTGGAAAACAGTCTGTTACCATTGGTACCTTGGAACACTTTACACTTTTCACATACACGTACTTGTAATTATTAGATTAAAGAAAAAGTATGATTCAATTGATGCTAGTTACCTCACATGCTACCTTAAAAAAACATCTGTTCACATAATTCATATACTTATAGTTGTTAAAATATAGAAAAAGAATGAGTCAATTGATGATACGTACCTCGCACGCTACCTTGCACTCCTCGATGTGAACGCGCCTGATACTGGCCTGATTCAAAGCAAGCTGTTCCTCATTTGTCACGCTGAATGCTCGTACCGTCTCCTGGAGAAGTTTCTTGGGAAGCTGATCAAAAGTCAAATAAAACTAGATGGAACTTCGACTGCGCGCAGTCGAAAATGATGCCTCCGTCATAGAGCAATTTAACAAACCAAAACAGAAGAAATTTTTCAAATTCAAGTTCAATTGTAATCCATTAAGAGGTTCTCAGAATATCGTGATTACAAGCAATTTCTCATATACATATATGACCCTTTGATCTTTGACCTGATGACCCTAAAATCTACTCAGTTCATTGGCTCTGCAAGATGTCCTGAGTTAAATAGTAATCCATCTGTCAGTTCTAATGAGAATGCATTCACAAGTTATTTTTGGATAATGAGCCCATGACCTTTGACCTCATGACCCATGAATCTACTCAGTTCATTGGCTCTGCAAGATACATACATGATCGAAATTTGGCAGGAATCCATCAATCTGTTCTAATGAGAATGCGATCACAAGCTATTTTTGCATACATAATGAGCCCTGTGACCTTTGACCTCGTGACCCCAAAATCTATTCAGTTCATCGGCTCTGCAAGATACATACATGACCAAAGTTTGGCAGGAATCCATCGATCGGTTCTTGAGATAATGCGATCACGAGCTCTTTTTGCATACCTAATGAGCCCTGTGACCTGTGACCTTTGACCTTGTAACCCCAAAATCTAATCAGTTCATCGGCTCTGCAAGATACATACAAGACCAAAGTTTGGCAGGAATCCATCAATCGGTTCTTCAGATAACGCGATCACGAGCTGTTTTTGCATACATAATGAGCCCTGTGACCTTTGACCTTTGACCTCGTGACCCCAAAATCTAATCAGTTCATCGGCTCTGTAAGATACATACAAGACCAAAGTTTGGCAGGAATCCATCAATCGGTTCTTCAGATAACGCGATCACGAGCTGTTTTTGCATACATAATGAGCCCTGTGACCTTTGACCTTTGACCTCGTGACCCCAAAATCTAATCAGTTCATCGGCTCTGCAAGTAACATACATGACCAAAGTTTGGCAGGAATCCATCAATCGGTTCTTCAGATAACGCGATCACGAGAACGGGACGTACGGACGGACGGACGTACGGACGTACGGTACTACTCACGACAGTATGCTTGTGAGATTTTTGTCTTGTGTGTCTGAAAAAAAGGGGTATCTTGTGTGTCTTTTCATTTTTTCCTTCTAAAGACTACTTGTGTGTCTTAATTCCCAACTTCTTGTGTGTTTGTCTAAAATTAAATGAAAATGCATCTTGTGTGTTTTTTAATACAATATGTGTTGAGACTGGTTTTTAAAATTAAAATTAAGGCTTGTATGCCCAAAAGACATTATTGTCTACCTCTATCCAAGTCAGGAAAATTAAGGCTTGTGTCCCGCAAAAACACATCATTTACCCGCCTAAGTCGTGAAAATTGAGGCTTGTGTGGCAGAAAAGACGATCAGCTACCCTGTCCAAGACAAGAAAATTAAGGCTTGTGTGCCTAAAAAACTTGATGTCCAAAAAGTATACAACTATTTATTTGTGACTTTTGAATGACCAAAAAATTGATTTATCTTTTTTCCTCATTGAATAGAAACATCACACACATATAATACAGGTAATGCAATAATATTCCAATGCTGTGGAGGAACCAATGAAAAGCCAAGGAGCTTGTCATGGCAGAAAGATTATTTACCCCTGTCCAAGTCAAGAAAATTAAGGCTTGTGTGGCATAAAAAACATTACATGTATTATATACCTCTGTCCAAGTCATGAAAATTAAGGCTTGTGTGGCAGAAAGACATTACATGTATTATATACCCCTGTCCAAGTCAAGAAAATTAAGGCTTGTGTGGCAGTAAGACATTATTGTCTACCCCTGTCCAAGTCAAGAAAATTAAGGCTTGTGTGGCAGAAAAACATTACATGTATTATATACCTCTGTCCAAGTCATGAAAATTAAGGCTTGTGTGGCAGTAAGACATTATTGTCTACCCCTGTCCAAGTAAAGAAAAGTAAGGCTTGTGTGGCAGAAAAACATTACATGTATTATATACCTCTGTCCAAGTCATGAAAATTAAGACTTGTGTGGCAGTAAGACATTACATGTATTATATACCCCTGTCCAAGTCAAGAAAATTAAGGCTTGTGTGGCAGAAAGACATTACATGTATTATATACCCCTGTCCAAGTCATGGATATTAAGGCTTGTGTGGCAGTAAGACATTACATGTATTATATACCCCTGTCCAAGTCAAGAAAATTAAGGCTTGTGTGGCAGAAAAACATTACATGTATTATATACCTCTGTCCAAGTCATGAAAATTAAGGCTTGTGTGGCAATAAGACATTATTGTCTACCCCTGTCCAAGTCAAGAAAATTAGGGCTTGTGTGGCAGAAAAACATTACATGTATTATATACCTCTGTCCAAGTCATGAAAATTAAGACTTGTGTGGCAGTAAGACATTACATGTATTATATACCCCTGTCCAAGTCAAGAAAATTAAGGCTTGTGTGGCAGAAAGACATTACATGTATTATATACCCCTGTCCAAGTCATGGATATTAAGGCTTGTGTGGCAGTAAGACATTACATGTATTATATACCCCTGTCCAAGTCAAGAAAATTAAGGCTTGTGTGGCAGAAAAACATTACATGTATTATATACCTCTGTCCAAGTCATGAAAATTAAGGCTTGTGTGGCAATAAGACATTATTGTCTACCCCTGTCCAAGTCAAGAAAATTAGGGCTTGTGTGGCAGAAAGACATTACATGTATTATATACCTCTGTCCAAGTCATGGATATTAAGGCTTGTGTGGCAGTAAGACATTATTGTCTACCCCTTTCCAAGTCAAGAAAACGAGGGCTTGTATGGCAGAAAGACATTACATGTATTATATACCTCTGTCCAAGTAATGAAAATTAAGGCTTGTGTGGCAGAAAGACATTACATGTATTATATACCTCTGTCCAAGTCAAGAAAATTAAGGCTTCTGTGGAAAAAAAAAAATTACATGTCTGCATTTAAAGTGAATTTTAATGTGGAATTGGGAAATCTTAATGAATTTTGATATTTGGAATCTCAAAGTTTGTGAATTTCAAAGTTTAAATTCATCCAATGTACAGAAAGCCAGTACAGAAAGCCAGTTCTGTGGCATAAAAAAAACATTACATGTATTATATACCTCTGTTCAAGTTATGAAAATTAAGGCTTGTGTGGCAGTCTGGCAGAAAGACATTACATGTATTATATACCCCTGTCCAAGTCAAGAAAATTAAGGCTTGTGTGGCAGTAAGACATTATTGTCTACCCCTGTCCAAGTCAAGAAAATTAAGGCTTGTGTGGCAGAAAAACATTACATGTATTATATACCCCTGTCCAAGTCAAGAAAATTAAGGCTTGTGTGGCAGAAAGACATTACATGTATTATATACCTCTGTCCAAGTCATGAAAATTAAGGCTTGTGTGGCAGTAAGACATTATTGTCTACCCCTGTCCAAGTCAAGAAAATGAGGGCTTGTGTGGCAGAAAAACATTACATGTATTATATACCTCTGTCCAAGTCATGAAAATTAAGGCTTGTGTGGCAGTAAGACATTATTGTCTACCCCTGTCCAAGTCAAGAAAATGAGGGCTTGTGTGGCAGAAAGACATTACATGTATTATATACCTCTGTCCAAGTCATGAAAATTAAGGCTTGTGTGGCAGAAAAACATTACATGTATTATATACCTCTGTCCAAGTCATGAAAATTAAGGCTTGTGTGGCAGTAAGACTTTACAGCACTGGCTTTCTGTACATTGGATGAATTTAAACTTTGAAATTCACAAACTTTGAGATTCCAAATATCAAAATTCATTAAGATTTCCCAATTCCACATCAAAATTCACTTTAAATGCAGATATCCATTAAAATTCTCAAAATCACTTTGCCGATGGATTTTTAAAGAGGAGTATTGACAAAAAGAATATGTCACGTAACTATGAAGAATTTTTATTTCTTCAGAGGCAAAGTTGAGTATTCCATTATTTGCTAATGGAATACGTTTTACACATATCTGGAACTTTAAAGGTACTATGTCCATTTGCAGGCCCCAAAAATGAAAAGGTTAAATTCCAACAGCATTTGAAAGACAATATTAATTTAGAACTTTCCGAAAAAAAAGGGGGCTTGAAAATGTCTTTAAGTGGGAAAATAACGACTATTAGTAGTTTAATCAACTAAAAGATGAAGTTGAGTTCTGGTTTTGCGATTGCATTGTGAAAGAAACGGTGTGGAATCGACCAGAAAAGGTTGATCATCTAGCATATAAGAATTTGTGTGTATTGCAAGGTTCTGGAATCATCAAAATGATAAGAAATTTGGCCAAGTCTTGGTAAAGTTACAAACACTGTACACAGAAAGATGTATATGGGACTACACAACCACGTGGCGTAAAAAGGCTATTCCCCCGAGTTTTACGATGTTACATGACATATTTAGAATATGAAGGCATTTGAAGAGCCATGCTTTTTAAGGGAACATGTCTTATCTGATGTTCTTCCACACTTGCATAATAGGAATGATAACGCTCACAAATTATTTTTCACCTCTTCCCAGAACTCAACCTTCTCTTTAAGAGCTATAGAGCCAGTAATTAATAATCTGATTTCAGACCACTGTACTGCAGGGTCAATGTCGCTATTCATAAGGACCGCTATTCATAAGGTTTGCTATTCATAAGGTCCTCTATTCATAAGGACCGCTATTCATAAGGTCCGCTTTTCATAATTGGAGAAAAGGGTCATTATTCATAAGGACCGCTATTCATAATGAAAGAAGAGGGTCGGTATTCATAATATTAGAAGAGGGTCGCTATTCATAATACAAAATCGGGTTCGTTATTCATGAGGGTCCCTATTCATAATATTACAAAAGGGTCGGTATTCATAACACAGAAAGAGGGTCGCTATTTATAATACGAAATGAGGGTCGCTACTCATAATACGAAATGAGGGTCGCTATTCATAATGCAAAATGAGGGTTGCTATTCATAA